CCCCCAGAGGCACCACTTCAGACTCGGAAAGCGCCAGCGACGTGCAGAGTTCTGAAGAAAGTAAGTGATGTCGATGCCGCGGCTCTTCCCTCGCCGCCGCGCCTGGAGATCCTGGTCAGAACGCATCCCTGGAGATCGGTAATTACCCTGCTTTGTTCCGCCAAGCCCAGACATCGAAGACGACCTGAGTTTTGCACAGCGTGGATCCCCAAAGATCTCGACACTTTTCCTGGGGACCCACGACCTGCTGTTCAGCCTGAGTCATTTTGATGGCCCTCCGGCCAGGTGAGGGCCCTACAGGGACCGAGGATTGCTGGAAACCTCCCGCCGTGATCGATTCGCGACGCGAGGGGCCTGGACCAAGAGCATCTCCTAAATTCGCCCGGCGCCGCCCAAGAGCTAGCATGGACGCCCAGGACAACCCCCGCACACCCCGATCGGATGGTCTGTATCAAGGGGGGGGGGGGTCAAACGAAAGAGGGGTGAGGAAAGGGGCATCTTTGGGACCCGACAGTGCATCTTTGGGGCCTCCTGGGGGGGCCCTGCAGAAGGCCCTGCAGAGGGCCGCTTCAGGGCCCCGTTTCTGCAACCCTCGATCGCCCCCCCCCTTGTCACTGACTCCCCCCTTACCGACCCGTGGCATCGCTCGGGGGGCGAGGACCATCGAGGAGCATCTTGCCTCATCTTGCGACCATTTCTGCGCACGAAGCCGAGAAATACACGGGGAGTGGACGTCCGTCTAGGCCTCCCAGATGGGGTCGGTGTAGATGGGATCGGAGGGTCGCGCCGCATCTCCGATGCACCGCCGATGCGGCTCGATGTGGAGCCCGATTTTCGTCACGCCGACGGCGCCGATGCATCGCCGACGTCGCCGATGCATCGTCTATATATATGTATGTATGTATGTATGTATGTATGTATGTATGTATGTATGTATGTATGTGTGTATGTGTGTATGTGTGTGTGTGTGTATGTGTGTATGTGTGTATGCATGTATGTGTGTCTATGTATGTATATATGTTCGTATGTAGTTATGTATACACGTATGTATGTATGTATGTGTGTATGTAGGTATGTATGTGGTTGTATGTATGTACGTATGTATGTATGTGTATGTATGTATGTATGCATGTATGTATGCATGTATACATGTATGTGTGTATGCCTGCATGTATGTATGTATACGTATGGTTGGATGTATGTTTGCATGCATGTATGCATGTCTATGTATGTATGTATGTGTGTATGTGTGTATGTGTGTATGTATGTATGTATGTGTATGTATGTATGTATGTATGTATGTATGTATGTGTGTATGTGTGTATGTGCGTATGTATGTATGTATGTATGCATGTGTGTATGTATGTATGTACGTAGGCATGTAGGTATGTGTATGTACGTGTGTATGTATGCATATGTGTATGTGTGCATGTATGGATGTATGCATGGATGTATGTCCGTCTGTCTGTCTCTCTGTCTGTCTGTATGTATGTATGCATGTGTGCATGCATGCATGCATGCATGCATGCATGTATGTATGTGTGTATGTTTGTATGTATGTATGCATGTATGTATGTATGTATGTATGTATGTATGTATGTATATATGTATGTGTGTATGTATGTATGAATGTATGTGTGTATGTATGTGTATGTGTATGTATGTATGTATGTACGTATGTATGTATGCATGTATGTATGTATGTGTGTATGTATGTATGTATGTATGTATGTATGTATGTATGTATGTGTGTGTCCACGTATGTATGTATGTATGAAGATATGTGTATATATATGTATATGCATATGTATTTGTATGTATATGTATATGTAGATGTATGTATGTACGTATGTACTTATGTATGTAAATATGAATGTTTGTATGTATGTATGGTTTATATATACATATATATATATATTAGCAGCCGTATCCGTATATAGGGCATGTTCAACTTTTCAGAGTTATTCAGGTAACTTGATATGGGCGGCTTGCATGTTTAATTTAATATGGGGTTATCTCTTGATTTATTATGTGGTGCTGGATTTGTTGGTTTTGTTTTCAGTTTGTCTGTCTGTCTGTGTGCTACTGGCCGATCGTGCAAGTCAGGCTGCCACGGCATGGCGGTGCAAATCATGTTGCGCACGGGATGGCGAGATTGCCCAATCGCAAGAACAGACCAGTGCCCAATCGCAGGACAGCCCGCGGCCCAATCGCAAGCATACAGCGCAGACGTTTCGGTCGAGCGGCGCGGAGCCCTCGGTGCACGGACGGCGCGCGCGAGTCGGTCGAGCAGCGCAGCGCTCGTCATGGCACGAAGCCCATCGCACGCCGTGGCGGGCGCCTCGACGGCGCGCGGGAGGGTGGCAGGAGAGCCGAGGTCACCCGCGGCTGGGCGCCAAGCCTTGTGATGTTCCAAGCTACTTTTAGCCTTGATCACCAGAAAGAGTTTTGAGCACCAGCAACGTACCGAAACTCGAGGGTTTTCACGCGTCGGGCCCCGGGAGACACTCGTCCGACACTCTTTCGACACTCTTCCGGCACTTTTCCGGGTGCTCGAAACTGTTTCTGGGATGCGTTCCTCAAGTAGGATGGGAGCAACATAAGCCAAGCCAAGACAATCACGGTTCGCGCGTCGCGGCCTGGGCCAGAGCCAGTGGCCTTAAAGTCGGGCCTGCCCTTCTACAGGAGGACGATTTGAATCTTGTCAAAACATGGTTCAGGGAGATTTGTCAACTATTTTGACTCTGTTAGGATATTGTCGACTATTCTTGATTTTTTCGTTCAAGATCCGCCTGTAGGGGGACACGCCCGACCTAACGCCGGCCTTCTCCGAGGGAGCAGCGTGGCGGCGCGAAGATGCCCGCGCGCCGCGCCTCGCGGGGCGAGGTGCGCGAAGTTGCCTGGGCGACCTGGGCCAGCGCCGCTTTCGCCCGGCATGGCGCCAGGAGGGTGGCAGGCAAGCAAGAACCATTCCGCATCGGTCAGGGGCCCCTCAGCCTCTGTTGTTCTCCTATCCCTCCTTCTCCTTCTCCCAGCACTGCTGCTTCTCATTCTGCTCCATGTCCTCTTCCGTCCGTAGCCGTCTTGGCTCAAGGGGCGTTGGCCCAAGCCAGTTTGGTTTCAGTGTCGAGACATGCACGGGCCAGGCTTGCTCTTCTCAGTTGTCCTGCTTGTCGCGCGAATGGTTTTGCACCGTGGACGGCGTGCTGGTGGAACATTGACACGCTTTTACACTGCTATCGCAGCTGCTGTGTGCAGCCGTGGAGCACTGTTCCTGTGCAGCTCTGCTTCTGCGGGCAGGGCGGCGAGTCGCCCGCAGGTGAGAACCCTCGACCCAGTTCGTGGCCATGGTGCCTGGCCCCGATGCTTTCTGAGGAAGCGGAGGTATGCTCGAGATGTGCGTTGCTTCTGCATGTCCCCATCGAGTCTTATGAAGAACATCCAATCCGCAATGACGAGTGACGAGCTCTTCAGCCTGTTCGAGCATGAGGACACCAATATGTTACACCGGGCATCGATCCTGCTTCGGCTGTCAAAAATTAATTTCGAGGCCTCGAGTCAGGCGGGGCAGACGAGGGCATGGAAAAAACTGATCTTCATGGTGATGGAGGACATTCCAGGCTGGAAGTCGAGCAGCAGTTTCAAGAACCGCCAGATCAGTCGTAGTGTTTGGACCGAGAGGGGACACTATCTGGGCATTGTGATCTATAGTCTGGGACGCCTAGACGGCGTTGTCTCCGCTGGCCTTTCCGCAGGCGAGCATGCCCTCCTTCGCGAGCACGCAACCCTTGCGGTGCTGGAAGCCCTGCCGGATCTGATAAAGGATAAACAAGTCAAGTCGTTGGGCGAAATTGTGTTCGGCCTGAGCATGACTGAGCGGAATCTCCAGACGGACGAGATATTCCGGACCCTTGCGCCGCACATCCCAGATCTCATCCGCGCAGACCGAGACAGGGACCTCAGCCTCAGCAACATTGTCGGCGCGTACGCCTTCTATGCGTTGCCTGACCCTGTGATTGTGGACATGTTTGTTGAATTGAAGGGCATGGTCAGCGAAATTTCAACTAATGAACCTTACTCTTTAGTGAGATTCCTCTTGCTTCGCGGGGTGCACGTCCGGAGCACGTGCGGACCAGACGTTGTGGGCCCTGGTGGAGGCCTCTTTCGGGCCTCTTGGAGGCCTCTTGTGGGCTTCTTGGGGCCTCTTGGGGTCTTCTTTGGGGCCTCTTGGGGTCTCTTGGGGGCGTCTTGGGCTGTCTTGCGGCACTCTTGCGCCGCTGGGTTCCTTTCGAGGCATACCTGTAGGCCTCTCGCAGCCGCCGTGGGGCTCTCTTGGGGTCCTCTTGGGCCGTCTTGGGCCGTCTGGGGGTCCTCTCGGCTTCTGTCGGGGGCCTCTTGGACCGTCCTGGGGCCTCTTTAGGCCGTCTTGGGGCCCTTTGAGACCGTCTTGGGGTCCTCTTGGGGACCGTCCTGGGGCCATTTTGGAGGCTGCCTGGGTCGTCATGGGCCTTTCAGGATAGAAAAAACAAGAACGCTAAAATCCTTCAAATACCAACCGGAAAAAAACAATAATTTTAGCCTCTGGAGGCGCTCTTGGGGGTCCTCTTGGGGCCCTCTGGGGCCGTCTTGGGGGCCTCATGGCCCTCTGATGGGGTCTCATGGGAGGCGTCTCGGGGGCGTCTTGGAGGCAGTTTTTCACAACCCTCCTGCGTTGGGTATTCGTTTTGAATCGAACACTGCCCGTGCGTCTTCTCCTTCTCCCGCCTCCCTCTTCCTCTCCTCTTCTCTCCTGCCTCTCACCTCGCTCCTTCCTGCGTGCCAGCTTGCCTCCTACCTGGCCATCCTGGGGGGCTGCAATCTGCGAAAATGTCGCCACTTTCGAGGCTGCTGGGGGGTGCAGCGGGGTGACTCGATGATCGAGGTTCGAGGGTGATTTCTCCGCCTAACCATTCCCGCTCTGGCCGCGAGCTTTTCGCTATCATGCTGCTGTTGCTCCATCTCATCGAGAGGGCCGATGGCTACGAGGGCCAGTGGGTGGATCATATGCCTGGCAGTCCTCAGTGAGTCACCAGTTATCCACCGCTTTTCCTGCAACCGCTCCCCACCTCATTCGCTTCGCGACGCATCCGGTGCTTGTGCCTGGGTAGGACTTAAGCGCGCGAAGGGCGCGCGTGGCTCTAGCATAAAAGTGTATATCTACAGCGGTGTGATAATCATTCCGCCCCACAAAGAAAGGGCTGGGAAATCACTCCGATATGGACCCGCTCAAACCGCAATCGCTCCGCATGGGGCACTTCAGATTGGCAGGCTCATCTTCGTCATCGTCGTTGTCATGCCCATATCAAGGTTGTGATTCAGTATGCTCGTTGTCGCTTTGATGCAGCGTGGCCCTCAGCATACTCACTTGCCCGTTACGAAAACTATTCATCTTGAGCACTGACGACTAGGACGTCACCGAGCTGGGGGCCCATTTCCCCCGCAGACCCCTAGCACGACAACCATCGGCCCGGCTGTGCGGGAGAGCTTCACAGGGTTTCCTTGCTGTGCAGTTAATAGTTTGCACCTAATTTAGGATGAAATCTTTCCCCCTATCAATTCACAGTGGGGAAAGACACTCCCGGGCATTGTCGCGCGGCCGTGAATACCTCCCCGCCTGGAACTTCAACGAACAATCACCCCCACATTTCCTTTTCATTTGAGCTCCCGTCAGGCATTCTGAGACAACATGAATACACTTTCGTAACCGGGATGTATCCCACCCCGCCCCGCCCGTCGTTGCCCATGTGACAATGGCGCCCCATTGTCAAATAGCCAATCGTGCGCGCTGGAACCCTGCCCTGCCCATCGCCGATGACCCGTTTCAGAACGGGGCCCCATTGTCAAATTGTCAATCGGGGGGGTTGGGGCCCCACCCATCGCCGATGGCCCGTTTGACGATGGGGTCCCAATGTCAAGTTGCCAATCGGGGGTGTTGGTATCCCACCTATCGCCGCTGGCCCGTTTGACAATTGGGCTTGATTGTCGGTCGGGCAAAGTTCGCTGCGAACTTGTTCCAGCAAGTTCGAGACCCGTGCTGGGGGGGGTAAAGGGGGGGGGAACAATCTCACACGCCTGGAGACCCAACGCGGGCCGGCGGATTGGCAAGGATATGTAAGGATTATGCGAGATACGAGGCTTTTTGTGCCATGGCCGTTGACAATGTGAACACGTACTCCGTCTTTCTTGTGAAACGTGACGCAAGAGATGAGCTCGGCATTGGGATGCGGCCAACGGATGGCCAACGTGCAGCCGAGGTCGTCAAGATCGAAAGAGGTCTAGTGAGTAGATGGAACAGGCTCTGCCCAGCTTGGAGTGTGCAAGAGCAGGATGAAATCATCAAAGCCAATGCGGTCGCTGGTGATGTCAAGTCGGTTGTCAAGGAAATCCGAAGCAGCAGCGAAGTCATGTTGAAACTACGGCGCAAGCGGGTAGCATTGCGAAGATTGGCAGATCCAGAGGCGATGAAGGATAAGGCTATGATGCATGCTCTCGCGATGAAGTTCATTGAAGCATGCAGACGCTACTCGGGCGAACCTCCATTGCTCGCTATCTTGGCTATACTCACCGGTACAATTCTCTTTGATGCAGACGTCGAACCATTGTATAGCTACTTGTCTCCACACCTGAAAGCCATGATCCCAAGGCTCACCCTTTACCAAGCAGCTCAGATTCTTTGGCTTTTGAGTATACAAGACGTGTTTCACGACCAGTCCATTGTGAACGGTCTTGCCAACCAAGTTGTACTGCGTCTCCGAAATACCGCCATCGCCGACAAGCATAAGATCTATATCCCGGGCACTGTCGGCGCGCTGAGGATGTTGCGCTTTGAACCCTCATCAGAGGTCATGCGAGAATTGAAGTCGACAGCTGAGCGACTTGGCATCACCGACCAGGAACTGGATCGTCCTCAAAACCATGCTCGCTTAATGCTCAGAGGCAAGGAGTAAGCCCCGACTGGGCTGGCAGCCGGCCGCCGATCGCCGCCGCCGCCGGCCGCGATCGCGGGGCGGACGCTCCTCCAGGCCCCTCTCGGCGGCTCAAAGATGGGGCCTAGATGCGCGGGGCCATGCGGATGGGGAGGGGTCTCAGTTCGGAGGTGCACCGCTTGGGGCTCGTCGTCCTCCGGGCCCCATCCTTCAGGGCCCCGCGCTTGAGCCGCTGACCTCCGCGGGGCCCAGGCCCTCGTCCTGGCGCGGTCGCAGCACGGCAGGGGAGGGGGGTCTGGGGGAGGAACAGGCAGGAGCCAGGGAGCGCGCCCCGCCGCGGCCAAGAGAGGGGAGAGAGGGGGAAGGAGCAGGAGGAGAGGAGGAGAAGGAGGAGGAGGAGGAAGAAGAGGAGGAGGATGCGGGTGTAGGGGGAGGGAGGGAGAGAGAGAGAGAGAGAGAGAGAGGAACAAAAAACAAGAAAGAAAGAAAGAAAAAAAGGGGGAGGAGGAGGAGGAGGAGGAGAAGGAGGAGGAGGAGGAGGAGGAGGAGGGGAGGGGATGCGGGGGAAGGGGGAGAGGTGGTTGATTAGAGGCTCACCGTCCTGGACAGCACCGCCCGAAGAGGGATAGGATAGGAGCTGAGGTGCCTCACCTTGTTGGTAGAATGGACCCGTAGCTTGCTCTACTGAGTTTTGAATTCTGAGTAGAAGAGGGGGAGAAGGAAGAGGCGAAGGAGGAGGAGGAGGAGGAAAAAGAAGAAGAAGACGAAGGAAGGCCACGATGAGACGGAGGCGTAGGAGGAGAAGGAGGAGAGGGAGGAGAGGGAGGAGAGGGAGGAGAGAGAGAGAGAGAGAGAGAGGCGAGGTGGAGACGAAGGGTGAGGGGAAGGTGGTTGGAAGAAGGGGGCGGCTGGCTTAGGCGTACCCTTTTCCTTCCGAGCAGATCCCCGAATGGACGCGCAAGGTCGCTCGGGTGCTGGACTCGGTCTTCCGCTGACTCGGTTGGCGTACCGTGGCCCACCCTGCGCTGATTACATCCACAATTTGAAGCTGATTGCCGACCTCCTTGGCGATCCAGTTGCGCTCCCGCGCGCATCCGCCATCGTGCCGTGGGGGCGGGGGAGAGGGGAGGGGATTGGGGAGGGCGAGGGGCGGGTGCTCGGGGAGGAAGACGCACAAGCCCCCACGACGAGTTCTTGTTGTGGACACGTGTTTGCGTGGAGGCCGAGAATGTAGGGAGCTGCAGCAACAAGAGGACGCACATTGGGCCCGATGCGTCGGGGAAGGGGGGATGTTCCGTGTGAGGCGTTGCTGAAAATAAGTTTTGGCCCGCTGGAGGCGGGGGGCTTCGCACGAAGCCGAACTAACGAATCAGCAAGGACCCAACACACGCTAACCGCTGCACAGGTAGGTGGCGGATGTCTGAGTTTGCTTTGCATGGGAAAGTCCGCGCGCCGAGTAGCGTTAGGAAATGTACAGGTGTATGGTGTGCCCCCAAGCGGCACGCGGACCGTCCAGACAGTGCACCCAACAGGCAGGCATGACCTTGTTCACGGTGTCTTACCGAGGCACGCGCAGCGAACCCCGAAAGGTTTGGTTTTGCGTCTTAAGCCTTCTCTTGAATTCATTACTTCCAGATGTCTTCACGGCCTGACATGTCAGAGTGAGGGGGTGAAGGGTCATTCGCCGTCCCTGGATGCGTGGCCGAAGCGGGGTTCCGCGGTGCGGATTGTTGTTGCTGGTGTGGTTGTTGTTGTTGCTGCTACTGCCGTTTGTATTCGTGTTGGTGTTATTGTTGCCGGTGTGGCTGTTGTTGTGGTTGTCGTCGTCGTCGTCCCATTCGCGACCAGGCCCGCGACCCACCTGCGACCCACCCGCAACCCACTCGCGATTGGCCCGCCACCCACCCGCGACCCACCCTCTTACTCTTATCCGCAACTTCGGGGTGCTACATAAGCATTGAATCGCTTCGCTCATTCCGCCGGCCCATAATGTTTCATTGTTGGCATTTGCCCGCGTGTTCGCTGCCCCTGCAACGCCGCAGGGCAACCATGCCTGGGTTTTGGGTCAGCGTCCTTGTGGAGACTTCTTATGGTCTCCTCGGGGGGCTCTCGGGGGCTCCTAGGTAGAAGGTTGGGGTCCTTTGGGGAGCGTCCTGGAAGCATCTCGGGGGCCTCTTGGGCTCTCGTGGGGCCTCTTAGGAGCCTCTTGGAGATGTTGGGGGCCTCTTGGGGCCGGGGGTTCGAAATGTCCGTTCGGGATCCCCCTCTGGGCCCTCTCTTGGGGCCGTCCTGGGGCCCTTTTGGGCAGTCTTGGAGGCCTCTTGGGCCGTCTTGGGGTCCTCTTGGGGCTCTCTTGGGCCGTCTTCAGGCCCTCTTGGAGGCCTCTGGAGCTGTCTTGGAACAATTTTGGGGGCCTCTTGGGCCGTCTCGGAGCGTCGGGAAGCCGAAATGGCGAGAACGCCAAAGTCTGTCAAAAATTTATTGGGAAGTTCAAAATGTTTGAATGTTGGAGCGCTCTTGGGATGCTCTGGGAAGCTTCTGGGGACGTCTTGGAGGCCTCTTGGGCTGTCTGGGGGCCATTTTGTGTTTCGTCGAGCGGTATTGTGGCGTCTCGGGGCACTATTGGACCTTCTTGGGGGCCCCTTGGGGGCTTCTTAGCCCTTCTTGGGGCTCTTTGGTAGGCCCCGAGGGCGGCGCCCAGGAGCAGAACCATCTCTGGTCGGACCTTGTCGGAGATCGGGCGGGGTGCTACATGATTATTTTCGGAAGTCTGGTTCAGCCAGCAGCCTCATTAAGAGTTGCTCAATTTGTCGAACGCGATGCTGTTGGGGAAGGATTCAAGAGTAGATCGGTAGCACAATAGTCTTCCGTGAAGATGTTTGTTCGAGGCAGAGTGCAACATGGGGAGGCCATCCAAGAGACATGACCCCCTCGCACAAGCCACAGGCGCAACTGGAGAAGTATCGAAGGCATGTCACACAGATGGAGGTAGACCCTCTCAGAACCGCCATCTATCGCAGAAGTTCTGGATTCGCCTCTCTAGAAGCCGCCAACGCAGCCTGAGAACGATGACTCCTCCTATCAGAGCGTACCCTCTTCCCCTGCCCCTTTTCCACCAGCGTTGAAGCAGTGAGGTAGTCAGGACGTTGTGCTTGCAGGCGATTGAAAACCAGAGGTAAGGTGCTTGGTCACGCGTGGCACCATTGCTCGACACACTGTCCAGTGCGGTGGTGTTCCAGCACCTGCCCCCCCCGCATGTGCACGTGCACGTCCGAACACCGTGGTGTCGGGCGTTGGTGCAAGATTTTGGGTCAATTCTCGAGTCAGCCTGCATGGCAGTTCCTCCGGAACTTGTGCCCCTTCGAGGGGTGCACGTGAAGTGCCCACACCCGCTCGTCGTCGTTATGCCCATCCTCTCTGGGATCTCGATCACAATCATGCGTATGCCAGAGAGGGTGAGAGAGAGAGGAGGGGAGTAGATCAATAGTAATATATATATATAGAGAGAGAAGAGGAAAAGACAGCGAGAGAGAGGAGGAGGAGGAGGAGGAATAGACAGAGAGCGAGAGAAACAGTTGGACATGTTGTGGGAGAACTGAACGAGGCCCGCGCAGTCCGAAGGAAGCCTCTGTCGACACAATGGGCCAGCATCTGCTCCTCGTGCTCAGAGCCTCCACCCGGCTTCGAAACGTCGCAGCAGGAGCGCGAAAGCATTGTTAGTGTCTGCAGCGCGTCCAACTGGGATAGACCACCCAGTGGGTCACCAGGTCCCGCCGAGCAGTCCGAAGCTCGAGCGAATAGACTGAAGAACTTCATCATCTCGTATCATTCCCCTGAGGCTTACCAAGGGTGTCCGACACAATTGTGTGGAAGCGGGCCCGGCAAAATTTTGCAGCCCCCAAGTTCCGCGGCGCAATTTCCTCGGATCTCAGGGGGGAAACTCAACAAGTCCCCATGAGATCCCATATCGTTTCTCGTGTGTTTTCTGTGTCCATGTAGCTTGCTTTGCTTGATCGCTTGCACGAAGGGGTTCTTCCTTGGTTCCTTAAGCGCTGGCCTGCGCTTCCAGATCTTCGCCACCGGGGGGAGGGGTCACCCTCCCCGAAGGGGAAGAGGGTCTTGCGGAAGAGGAAAGATAGACTATCGTTAGACCACCTACGCCCAGAGGGCTGGTGGTATTCTGGGTTTTCGCCCGGTGCCCCCCGCGCGTCCGCTGCGCGCCCGCCCCGCGCGTTGGCGCCGGCAGTTCTGGGTTGTCAGCCGGTGGCCGCCTCGTGCCCGCCTCGTGCCCGCCGCGCACGTTGGCTCGCGTTTCGGGATGCACACGGAAATCTCCCTACTCCGCCAGGGTAATACATTCCACCCCCCCTCGAGGCCGGGGTTTTGTGCCGCCTCTTTCGCAATTCGACGGACGTGTGCTTCTGGATCCTTTTGTCTTTCCCTATCAGAGTTCGAACCATGCCGGGTCATCCTGTTATAGACTCCCCCGTTCATCCCTGTCAAATAACACAATGCGGTGCACATGCGTTGACCTCTGGGGTGTTGTTGTGAAGATTCCCTGGCAACAGGTGTATTGCGGTGTACATTCGCGCGTTGCCGCGCGCGCGCATCCAAGTTTTTCAAAAATAAATATGTTCAAATATTTCAAGAAGTAGTTGCTCCCAAGACTATCGACAAACCGCTGGGTTGGGGACAAGAAAGTGGCAGATTTTTTGTCGCGCGAGCGCGCACTTGTTGAAAATTGAAGAACACATAGGTATTGTACCGCTCTGTCAAATGAGACGTTGCGGGCAACCTGCACGTGCATGTCGACCACGTTCAACCACCATCGCGCGCCGACCAATCTTGACAACGCCGACCATGCGGGGACACACGCTCGCGTCCGCCGCGCGCACGTCAAAATCGTTCCGAAACAGTGGGTTTGCTCATCATTGCAGCACAGAGATGTACTGCAGCACAGAGGTGTTCAAAATCATACGGAAGCCACATTTTTTCCGGTAGTAGCATGTCAGGACGTGTGAATTTCTGCGGGCGCACGTTCCCAGCATCTTCAGCAGCACAATCGCTATCATCATCGTCAGCGGCATTATTGTTTCCGACAGCATCATCGGGGTCACCACCACCGTCATCGTCGATGTCGTCGACTTTGCTATGCCGCGGGCACTTCGTCATCATCATCATCACCACCAGAACCATTGCCACCATGATCGCCAGCGTCACCGCAACCACGTCGTTATCATCACCCTCAGCTTCGTCGCCATCACAACCATCGGCGTTGTCATCGCCCGCACCGTCGTCATCAAGATCACCATTGTTTGTGTCATCGTCGTCGTCACCGACCAGCTGGTCTTTGCCAACAAATTGCGGGTGGATGTGTGGGCGGGATGGTTTCACGAGGATTTGAATTGACCGTTTCAATATCAGCATGGTGAACTGCACCAGTAGAACCTCTCTTCTAGAGAATGTCCCCCCCAGCATAGGCCAGACTGAACGGTCCACCTTCGCTTTTTGATTCAATAGGCTTACGCCACATCCGCCGACCCCTCTATAAACTATTGCGCTTCCAGGACTGCATTCCACGAAGGGCCTTGGGGGCCGTTTGGGGGCTTCTTCTGGGCCCCTTGGGGGCTCCTTGGGGCCTCTTGGGTTCCTCATTGGGGCCTCTTGGGGCCGTTTGGGGCCTCTTGGGTCCTCCAGAGAGCTTCGGTGGGCGGAACGCTGGAATTCGCGGTTCGTGGTCCCTCTCTTGGGCCCTTCTTGGAGTCGTCTTAGAGTTTTTTTGGGGAGCCCCGCGGCCATTTGGATTTTGTTGATTCCATCTGTCGGTCGTCGCCGCATCCATCACTGCCGCCAGATTCTGGCGGCAGTGATGGACGCGGCAACGACCGAGAGACCCTAAGATCCTCGACTGTGATAGCCCGAAGACCTTAACCCTAAAATCTTCACCCGAAGACCCTATACCGAAGATCTTCACCCGAAGACACTAACCGTGAGACCCTAATCCACAAACCCCATCCCTACGGTCCCAGCCCTCGAACCCTAACTCTATGCCCTAATCCTCAGAACCTAACCCTGAGACGCTAAACCGAAGACCCTAACCCCCGTATCCAAACCCTAAGACCCACCCTGAAACCCTAACCCCACTGCCGTCACCCTAAGACCTTAACCCCGAGACCCTTACCCGAATGACCTAACCCAAAGACCATAGCCCCAATGCCGTATGCCTCAGACCCTAATCCTAAGTCGCCAACCCTCAGTCCCTAAGCCTGGGACCCTAACCCTCAGACCCGAACCGGAATTCCCCAATCCTAAAACCCTAACGCCCGTACCCTAACACTAGGGAGTGCACAAATCCGGCCGTGCATCGCCATATATATATATATATATATATATATATATATATATAAGTATATATATACATATATATATATACATATATGTTGGCGATTCACGGCGAGTTCCTGCGATGGTAAGGACCAACTGGCCCGAAACACTCCCCGACAGAGCGCCCCGCAGGCCAGCCGCCGCCCTCCGCCCTGTCCTCGGCACCTCCTGGCGCCGCCCGCCAGGCTGGCCACCGGCTGATCCGGGAGATGTTGGGCGACGAGGACTAGATCGTTTCCTCCTTAAGAGGAGGAGGAGGCGAGAGGAGGGAGGAGGGAGGCAGAGAGAAGAAGGAGGAGAGCGGAGGAGGAGGAGGAGGAGGAGGAGGAGGAGGAAGAGGAGGAGGAGGAAGAGGAGGAGGAGGGGGAGGAGGAGGAGGAGGATTCTGCTTGATTCTGCTAGTCGTTCAGCTGTGCTACAAGCATGAGAGCACAGCCGATGAACATGAAAACGCAGCTGAGAACTCAACCACCGCGCTTCGCCCCCCCCGCGGCGGCGGCGTTGGCGCCCGCGCTCCGACGCGGTACACTGGCCGCCGCCGCGGGGGCCTCCGGCCCTAGCCCCTTAGCCGGGCGGCGAGCGGAGGATGGGGCCTGGGGACCCCGAGCTGGTGGCGGAACCCAGCTGAGGGGGTAGCCCAGGTCGCCAAGCCCCGATCGCCCCCTCTGAAAAGGAGCCCCACCTCCGCCGGTCGCCCGCCGGTTCTTGGGTCGTTCGAACAGTGCATCCAGCCAGATGCAGCCCCTGGTTTTCTATCCCGACCTCCGGCCAGCAGTCGACCACTTTGGGTTCCCTGACCGTCCCGGTGTGTTCACCGGGCCCCCGGCTTATGCGAGGGGGAAGAGTGGACGAGGAGGAGGAGGAGGTGGAGGAGGTGGAGGAGGAGGACGAGAGTGGAGGCGGAGGGGGAGGAACAGTAGGAGAAGGAGGAGGAGGAGGAGGGGAAGGAGGAGGACCAATCTACACCCAAGACCCATCAACGTTATTGGAATCAACCCTCCCTCCAAGCTGCATTTTTATTCGGCCCCATACAAGGGCTTATGTCCACCGAGGGAACTGCGCCGTTGGGAGACAACCGTTTGAAGACCCTGGAGCGTGCCAGAACACCACTCTCGGCATTCAACGCCACGATTGAACATTATTGTTTCGTCTTGACGAATCGGAATCGCACCAGAACGCCATTCTTTGGACATCAACACCGCGAATCAACATACTCATTGCGCCCTTACAATCCTGAGTCCTTCTAAGACACCATGTCTGGCACGTTGACAATGGGAATTCGTGAAACCCCTGTCAATGTTTGAAACGAATATGCGCGGCGCTCGGGCGAGAGCCACATTTTGAAAACGGCCCGCCCTCAATCCTCGAAGCCCTTGCAAATGTTTGAAACGACTGTGCGCGGCGCTAAGGCGAGAGCCACACTTGAAAACGATCCGCCCTCAATCCGTGAAGCCATTTGCATATCTTTTCAACGAGTGTAAGCGGCGCTCCTGGCGAATTTCACATTTTGAAAACGGCCCGCCCTCAATCCGCGAATCTCTTTCATCTTCAAACCGAACGTGCGTGGCGCTAAGACGAGAGCCACATGTCGACAACCACGGGCCCTGAATATGTGGAGCCCTTGCCGATGTTTACAACGAATGTGCGCGGCGCTTGGGCGGAAACCACATAGTGAAAACCACCGTCCCTCAATCCGTGAGATTCTTGCAACATGTTCAAAACGAATGCGCGCGGCGCTAAGGCGAACATTGAATGTTTGAAGCGACCCGCCCTCCGCCTGTGAAACATCGTTACCAATGTTTATGCTGCAGGTCGCTTGTTATGTGGAAGTCTCGGGCCAAAACGCCCAGCCCGCCCGCCCTTTCGACCAGCCTCGGGGTGCGACAAGGGGGAGTTATGCATAAGGAAGAGGGATGCAGGAGGCGTAAGAGGAGGAGGAGGAGGAGGAGGAGGAGGAGGAGGAGGATGAGGAGGAGGAGGAGGAGAATGATGAGGAGGAGGACAAGGAGCAGTGCAAGCCTGATATTCATCAGCATGTTGGAATACACCCTCCCTCCAAGCTTCCTCTTCACAAGCCCCTGCAATGGTTCATTTCCATAAAGAGGGAACTGCCCCTTTGGGAGACAACCGCTTGAAGACCCTGAAGCGTGCCGAAACACCATTCTTGGGACTCCAACGTCACGGATCAACTTGATTGTTGAGTCTTGGCGATCCTGATTTTTTGTTGGGCCATTTTTGGGAGTTCAGCACCGCGAAGCAACGTAAGTGCTACACCCTCACAATCCTGAGCCCCTCTAAGACACCCTTTCTGGCACGTTGACCATGGGAATCCGTGTCACCTTTGCCGATGTTTAAACGAATGTGCGCAGCACTAAGACGAGAGCCACATGTTGAAAACGAACCGCCCTCAATCCGCGAAGCCCTTTGCAATTGTTCAAGACGGGTGTGTGCGGCGCTGGAGAGCCACATTTTGAACAAGGCCCGCCTCCAATCCGATAAATGTTTGCAATGTGTCCAAATCATCTTGTGGTGTTGGGCCCTTGATTTGAAGAACCAATTCCCCGCGTCACCTCCCGCCCTCCTCCCCCCCCACACATTGCTACCGCCCGCATGCGTCCGCCACACCCTGTATAGCGCTTCGTGGCCCCACAGGGGCTCCACCGAAGGTCCCAGCGCTACGGCCCGCATGCGTCCGCCACGTCTAGTACAGCGTTCCGGGATCTCCACAGAACGTTCCATTGCTACCGCCCGCATGCGTCCATTACACCCAGTACAGCGCTTCGTGACCTCATAGGGAGCTCCACCGAAGGTCACAGTCCTAGCACGCGCCCGCAACATCAGTACAGCGCTTCTTGGCCCATAGAGAAGCACACCGAAGGCTTCAGTGCTACCGCCCGCATGCGCCCGCCACACCCAGTACAGCGCTTCGTGGCTTCATAGGGAACCCCACCGAAGGTCACAGTGCTAGCACTCGCCCGCCATACCTAGTACAGCGCTTCGAGGCCCCATAGGGAGTTCCACCGAAGGCCGCAGTGCTACCGCCCGCACGCGCCCACCACACCCAGTACAGCGCTCCTTGGCTAATAGGGAAGCTCACCGAAGGCCTCAGTGCTACCACCCGCATGCGCCCGCCGCACCCAGTACAGCGCTTCGTGGTTCATAGGGAGCCCCACCGAAGGTCCCAGTGCTAGCACGCGTCCGCCATACCTAGCACAGCGCTTCGAGGCCCCATAGGGAGTTCCACCGAAGGCCGCACTGCTACCGCCCGCATGCGCCCGCCACACACAGTACAGCGCTTCGTGGCCCAACAGGGAGCTCCACCGAAGGTCCCAGTGCTACCACCCGCCTGCGTCCCCCCACCCAGTACAATGTTTCGTGGCCTTTGATGGGAGCCCACCGAAGGCCCCAGTGGCACAGTCTGCATGCGTCACCCCCACCAATTACTGCGCTTCGTGGCTCCTATAGGAAACTCTACCGACGGCACCAGTGCTACCGCCCGCATGCGCCCCCCCACCCAGTACAGCGCTTCGTGGCCTCAACAGGGAGCTCAACCAAAGGCCCCAGTGCTACCGCCCGCATGCGTTCCCTCACCCAGTACAGCGCTTCGTGTCCTCATGAGGAGTTCCACTGACGGCGCCAAATGGCCCCGTCCACATGCGTTTCTGCCACCCAGTAGAGCGTTTCATGTCCCCATCGGGATCGCCGCCGCCCAGTGGCATTTTCTGCACGCGTTCCCCCCGCCCAGTACAGCGCTTCGTGCCCCTATATGGAGCTCCAGCGAAGGCCACAGTTGCACCGTCCGCATGCGTCCATTTCACTCAGTACAGCGTTTCGCGGCCGCCCCATGGGTCCCAGTGCAGCGTGTCGTGGCCCCATAGGGAGCTCCACCGAAGGTTCCAGTGCTACCGCCTGCATGCGCCCGCCGACGGCCTCAATGGCACCGTCTGCATGCGCCCCCCCCCACCCAGTACAGCGCTCCGTGGCCCCATAGGGAAGCCCACCGAAGGCCCCAATGGCATAATCCACATGCGTTCCTACCCGTTACAGCGTTTCGTGGCCCACGCGGAGTTCAACCGAAGGCTCCAGTGGCAAAGTTCGCATGCGTCTCCCGCATCCAGTACAGCTTTTCGTGTTCAATAGGGAGCTCCACCGCAAGCCCAAGTGGCAAAGTTCGCATTCGTTTCTCCACCCATTACAATTTCATGGCCCATCGGGATCAGGATCATCAGCGGTGAGGAAGTCTTAGGCGAAACGCCCTGCCAGCCCCTTCGGCCGACCTTGGAATGCGACAGAGAGGAGTTAGATATAAGGAAAACGAGTGGAGGAGGAGAAGGAGGAGCAGCTGGACGAGGGGGAGAATAGAGGAGGAGGAGGAGGAGGAGGAGGAGGAGGAGGAGGAGGAGGAAAGAAGGAGGAGGAGGAGGAGGAGGACGTGGAGGAGGAGGAGGAACAGAGGAGGAGGAGGAGGAGGAGGAGGAGGAGGAGGAGGAGGAGGAGGAGGAGAGTGGAAGAGGAGGAGGAGGAGAGTGGAGGAGGATCAGAAGGAAGAGGAGGAGGAGGAGGAGGAGGAACGAGAGGGATGCAGGAGGAGGAGGAGGAACGTGGAGGAAGAGGAGGAGGAGGAGGAGGAGGAGGACAGGGACGGGGGGAGTGCAGGAGGGGGAGGAGAGGAGGAGAGGAAGGAGGAGGGACGAGGAGGAGGAGGAGGAGAATGGGGAGGCGAAGGAGGAAGGGGGATCTTAGAGGAGGAGGGAGGAGGGGATGGCCTCTCCTCCTTCTCCTCCCCCTCCTCCTCCTCCTCCTCCACTCCGCCTCTTCCTCCGCCTCCTCGAACTATTCCTCTCAGCCTTATCGTCCTTCCCCTCTTTCTCCTCATTGGTACTTCCCCCCAGGAGGATGAGAAAGAGGATGCTGAGGACGGAGAGGAGGAGAAAGAGGAGGAGAACGATTATTTTCAACGGCTGGAACAGACTCGGCGTTGAGAAACCTTTCCGGGGTTGGGGGCAATCAAGAAACGACCCAGTGTGGAACACATCAAAGTCGAACCTGGGATGTTGTCGAGAGCCTCGGAGGGGCACGTACTGGCGACGTCGGAGGTTTGGGTTCGATGCGGAGTAGGAGAAGGTTCGAGGCTCGAGCTTGTTGGACGTTTTGCAGCCTTTGGGGCCTTCATCCCTCCCTCGTCCCCATCTCCTCCGTCGTCCGTCGTCCTCCGTTCTGCCCATTCCTTCCGTATTGCCATTTCGGCGTTTTCCGTCCTCGTCCGATGAGGTGAACCCAGGACGAAGGAGGATAATCATGGCAGGAGCAGGTGGAGCAGGGAAAGCAGAAATGCGAGCGAGGACATGCGGAGGAGGTTGAGCAATACTTAGGACAAGGAGGGGGCGGTGGGAGGAGGCAGAGTTGTGGTTGTCTCGCCCACCCCCGAGCCGCTTCTGTTTGCGCCTCTCGATGTTTTGGCATCGCTTCTCGTTCAAGATATGATGATGACGATGATGATGATGTTGATACCGGACATGGTGTTGACGACGATGATGATGATGATGATGATGATGATGATGATGATGATGATGATGCTGATGCTGATGCTGATGCTGATGCTGATGCTGATGCTGATGCTGATGCTGATGCTGATGATGGTGATGATGATGATGATGACGACAGCAATGCTGATACTGATTAAACTGATGATGCTGCTGCTGATGATGATGATGATGATGATGAAGATGATGATGATGATGATGATGATGATGATGATGATGATGATGATGATGATAATGCTGGTGGTGGTGATGATGATGAGGAGGAGGAGGAGGAGGGACGAGGAGCAGGAGTAGGAGGAGCCCGACAGGCAAGGTGGTGCGGGGCGTCACACACGGCCGGTTTGGGGATGTCGAGGCACGAAGCGATGCCAGGCGGAAGTGGGAGAGCGCAGGCGCCACGGCTGCGCCGGCGTCTGTTCAGGTCTGGCTCTCGCTCGCTCGATCGTGCCGCAGGCTATGGCAGCCAATGGACGTGCATACTGGCAGAACAGCTGTGCAAATATGCATGGCGCCCTCTTTGGCGCCACGCGGAGGCGTCACTCACTGCACCTAGCTAGAAGCTGGAAGCTGTCCCTGGCCAGACGGATCGCGTCCCAGGGCATAGTCGGGTGGGGCCAGGACGATCAAAGATCTGTTCCAGAGCGTTCGCGGAGTGTCCTGGAACGCTCCGAGACGGCCGCGGAGCCCGATAGGTCCTCCTGAATTGCCAGATCCCTGAGATTTCCAGTTCATCCTCTTCCGAAGTTCTGCAAATACGTTTGCCCTATAGGAGTTCTGATTCAAACCCTACTAACTGGTCCGTTGCCCCCCCCCAATTCCGATGCCCCCACCCTAATTCCTATAGGGCTTGTTCCCTTCCTCCTTTCGTCCTCCTCCCATCCTCCCCTCGTCCTCCTCCTCTCCTCCTATCCATCTGGAGTCAACGCTGGCTGAGATTATCCTCGCCCTGCCATCACCTTGCACAGACGCCGCGGCTCCGCTGGCGTCCGCTCGGCTCCGGCGAGAGGGCAGGCGAGCGGAGCCCACGGGGCGCCTTGGTGTGCGTGCGGCAAGGGCAGCGGGTCCTGGAGATCTCGGTCGCCGTGTCCGACCTCTCGGGGGCCCCCGCGGGCCCTGGCATAAAGTCGGGCCTGTCCCTCTACAGGGGGAACATTCGAAAGTAGTCAACAATAGTCTGGGGGGCGAACTTTGTGACCATTTGTGAATAGTTGTGGAGTGTTTTCTGGTATTTTGGATCTTTCGTCCAAAATCTGCTTGTAGGGGGACACGCCGGACCTAACCCTGGCACCCGTGGTCCTTGGGGGATGCCCCAGGATCAGGACGGAGGTTGTTATCAATCATCGGCCTCTGGAGCCTTGAGACGGGGGTCGATGGAAACAGGGGTCAGCCAGGGCGCCCGATCTTGCAGGATCCTGCAGGGCTAGGGTCGCATTGACCCGGGTTTGGGTGCAGGATCCTGCAGGATCTTGCAGGACCCTTCGCATTGACCCCAGCTTGGGCGCAGGATCTCGTAGGATTTCACAGGATTCTGCAAGGCCTGACTGACCCGGGTTTGGAGTGACGCGGGTCAGCAGGTCCCCGAGTTATCAATAATCGGCATTTGGAGCCCCTTGCTGGGTCCCTGGACCGTCAAAAAGGCACTTGGGATGGAGAACCAGCTGGCCCGGGGAGAGGGTCAGGACTTCTGGGGAACCAGTACTGAAACAATCAGGACGTCGCATGTATGGGTCAGGACCCGCTTTTTTAATGATAACGAGGGGGGGGCTCACATACGTCTGGTTACAGACTGCTCAACGACTGTCGAAAGGCAAAGGTGGCGCATGCAGTCTTTCGCCTGTGCCTCGTGGCGCGGGACCCTTGAGGGTACGGCAGTCTCGCGCAGTGTTGACGCGGTGGTGTGTCCAGCGAAGTGTTCAGGGTTGAATGTTGCCAGAGGCCCAGAATCGGCCCACGTCGAACGACCTGCGCGATTTGAAAGCCGCGATCGTTCAAGGTTGTCAAAGATAAACGCCGACGCCATCGCGACGGGATCCTGCCGGGGGCGCTCCTCTCGCCTGCGTGGCTCTTCTGAGCCGCCTTGGGCCAGTGACTACTGGCCGCCTGGCCAGGAACTGCGCCCCCTGATAAACTCCGTGATCTACAACTCCGTGCTGAAGGCATGAACCGCTGGGGCGACGACGCGTACAATAACGTCGGCGACGACGACGAGGAGGAGAGGGAGGACGACGACGAGGTCGACGACGACGATGAGGACGACGAGGACGTCGAGGACTGCTGCTAGCGGGTGCGGCGACGACGACTCTGACGCGAGGCCGACGAGATCGGCGAGGACGACGACGTCGACAAGGTCGACCAGCACGACGACGACGACGACGACGACGACGACGACGAGGTCGAGGTCGAGGTCGAGGTCGAGGACGACGATGACGACGACGACGACGATGACAACAACGTCGACCGCGACGGCGACGGCGACGGCGACGGCGACGACGACGACGACGACGACGACGGCGACGGTGACCCTCTCATCACCACAGCCAGATTCGCCTGGAGATCCCAGTCAGAACGCAGCTCAGGAGTGGTCCGTGGAGTGGCCGCGAGCCCCTAGCCCGTTCCTCGTCCAGCCTTGCCTCCGACGGGGTCCGGTCGGGCGGGGCCAGGTCCGGCATGGATCGCTGCAGAGCGTTCCGGCACGCACTCGGAGCGTTCCGTGGCGCTCTGGATCGGAGGGATGAGAAGCGACACCAACACCGACAGGGGGGCCACCTCCAGCGAGGAGGTCCACGATGCCTCCCCGAGCCGGGGGCTGGGGATGTCTCGAGCGAGAGGGTGGACCACCACCACCCTTGCCCTTCGCATCTCCTCGCCCTGGCGGTGTTGGTGTCACATTTCATTGTTCCTATCCAGAACCGCCGGAGCTCAGAGATTCCCGGTCCAGGTCCTGGCGATAAGGCGTCCTGCTTCTCGGGTGGGCGCGCACTGCCCTGCACGCCCAGGGCTCCAGGGGGGAGGAGGAGGAGGAGGAGGAGGAGGAGGAGGAGGAGGAGGAGGAGGAGGAGGAGGAGGAGGAGGAGGAGGAGGAGGAAGAGGAGGAGGAGGAGGAGTAGGAGGAGCAGCAGGAGGAGCAGCAGGAGGAGCAGGAGAAGCAGGAGGAGCAGGAGGAGATGACAGGGAGTGGGGGGAGGAGGAGGAAGAAGAGGAGATCGACTTTGTGCAGGTTTGGTATGGTTTTGTCCCGCTCCCGGAGCCTGGAGAGTGACCTCTTCCCGCGGCTGGGATTTCTGTCATGCCCACCGCCCGGGGAACCTGCCTTGATGGGCATGTTTTCCACCGCCACCACTATGAGTTGGAGGAGGGAAGGAGTGCAGGACGAGGAGGAGGAGGAGGAGGAGGAGGAGGAGGAGGAGGACCCCCTCCCCCTCCAACTTATGGTGGTGGTGGTGGAAAGCAGGCCCATCATGCCTCCCTCGACCTTGGGAGGCGGTGTAAAGGCACTTGCTCCGTCCCCCTGGCCCGGTATCCGCCGCCCCCCTGGGAGTCCCAGGACGTCGGTCCCCTGAGCGGTGGAATCTGTATCCCAATACGAGATGTCTTGAGTCTTGTCCATGCAAGCCCCGGGGAAGAATTCTCGACTCGCTCCCTGAGGTTCAGGCAAAGGGCGCTCGTCGTGGTTTCTCGCAGGCGATTTTGTTTTCTCCCCCAAACCCCGACTTTGCGACGAAGAGTGAAGCCGCCCAGACAAGGAGGCGATCCCTGGGATACACACCCCGAGGGGGACGCTCCACCCCTGTCATGGATGGCCGCCCCCCCATCGTACATATCCCATGGTTAGGCCTCACATGTCTGGTCCATTCGAGAGCCCCACGAAGCCTGGGATGGGTCAATGGAGGAAAAACCACCCAGACCAGACAATTGGCGTTTACTAAACGGCCCTGGGCGTTTACTAAACGGCCCTGGGCGTGTTCGATTCCTTCTACGGGCGCGTTTGCTAAAGGCCTCGCGCGTCGGGGTGGACCTCCCCTCTTGGCTTCCGCCCAGTGGCCTCCCATGGTGCTCTCGGCTCCCGCTCTGGGCTCCTCGCGGAGCCTCGCGGGCGGCGGGGAGCCGCGCCCGGCCGCCGCCAGGGCCTCGCGCAGCACAGGCGCTTCGACCGGGTCTGGGAGGTGCACGCGGAGATGCGGCAGGAGCGGCGGGTCTCCCCAGGCGGGGCTCATTTCGTTGGCCTCGGCATCCCTCGGGCGTGTGCATGTGTTCTAGGCGAGGATCATCTTGGACCATCGTGCGAAAGTTACACGCTCGAGGCCGAAACGTGCACGGGGAATGGACGTCCGAGCGATGGCGAGTGGCACGATCGAAGTGAGTACGGGATGAATGGATACGAAGACAGACAGCAATTACTAATTCATTTTGAACAGGATTCGCTGTCGGCGTCGCCGCGGACGTTGTCCATTCGAGGCAGAAGGCCGCCTGCCCGACAGCGGCCGCTGTAGGTTTGGGATAATGCTTGCTGTTGGGCATTTTACACATTTTTTGCTTAACAATTCTGGGTGTCCAAATTTCGATTCCTTCGATTCGGTTCGATTCGATTCCGATGGCGTCCGTTTCCGATTCGAGTCGACCTCAGATTCCTATCTGGATTCTGATCTCGCTAGCCTGCCGATTTCCGCCGATTCCATTGCTCCCGTCTCGGCTGCCGATTGCCGCCAGCCCCATTCATTTCGATCGCCGTTCCGACTTATCGATTCGATTCGATCGCCGATTCGACCTTCGAACAAGCATCGGCGGCGAAATCCGAACCCGACCCTCGCCGATCAACGGTTCATGCAAGCCGATGGGCTCGGCATTCCTCGAACACGTGACGAAATCCGAACCCTACCCCCGCCTCTCATCGATTCACGAGAATCGATGGTTGGTGGGTGTAGGTTTCGGTTGTCGCCGCCTAGTAGGTCCGGGACGAGATCTTGGCCCCGGGAAAGGGGTCGGGACCATTGGGCCGCGCATTGAACAGATCATATTGTCGTCGGATGTCGGCGCCGGCCGCCACCGCCGCGGGTATTCGCAGTCCCTAGTTTTTTCCCCAGCAGGCTGGTATCCACAGCGCTTCGCACATTGGGGCACTATTGTGAGAGAGCGTATTCATGACTATCGCGATACAGGGATTGAGTTCTATGAGTGTTGGCTTTCTTCGCTCAGAGTCCAGTTTTTGGGGCAACATTGGCATCTGTTCAAATCCAGGCGTTTCCTTTGATGCCGACCGCTGCTTTTTGTTCGAGCCATCAATACCAAAAAAGTGGCCCAGTGAAGGGCTCGAGACCTTTGGGGCGCGCTGATTGAAACAACAACAAGTCATCAGAAATCGGAGACATTCTGCGGCGTGCTCAAGGGGGGTGGAAAAGCTGCCTTCTGAGAAGGCAGGGGGCTTCATGACGAGGAGGGGGTGGAGGCTCAGGCTTCAAGCAAGGCTCGGAGGGCTCAAAAGAAGCCCCAAGAACGCTCCCCCCCCTCGCCCTGCGGTTGTCTGCACGAATCTGTGAGGATCGGCGCGAATCGGCTATGATCTATGATGGACTTTCGGCCGCAGGTCCGCGCGAGTCCGCTACGATGGGCTCCTGTGGCTTGTAGCAGCGAGGGGGAGGCCCCCCATGACGTCGCGCTGGTGTGTGTGGTGCGCTGCCAGGTGTGGGCTGTGCAGAGTCTGGCGGAGAAAAAAAATACACCAGAGGAAAAACCCAATCCGTGGATGGTTTTCACTGAGGAGATCGACCAGGAACCCGGGAGCCCGGGAACCCAGAACCCACCGAAATCGGCCCGGAGCCAATAACTGGGAACCCGGGAACCCGGAACCGGGAACCCGGGAACCCAGCTTGCTACCAAAATCGGCGGGGAATTTTCCCCTAATCTTTCAATTTCCGCTAGGACCCCTTCAGTGCAAGCACTGATTGGGGAAGAAAACGACCCCCCCCCTTGGCCCAGGACCCCTCGACGCCGGCGAGACACGTGCGAGGCCGTTGCCTGACGGCAGGGTGGCGCCGCCCCGGCTCGCAGGCGACGCCTCGACCCCTGGCACAGCAGTCCGCTTTTAGACGCGACGGGGGCACTCCGAGATGTACCCCCCGGGGCGGGGGATTCCTCGAGGGAAGAAATGTCGGAATTTGGAGCATATACATTACCAGTGGCGGGCTGTTTTTCAATCACGGGATTTTTTTGAGGGTCGGGGACGACGTCGGGGTGGTGTGGTGTATACATTTGTCCCCGTCTTCCCGTGGAAACAACGAAGAATGTATACACCAGGATCCCGTATACACCAGGATCCGCTTTCCTGTTCGAGATCCACTGTGAGGCCAGACAAAGGCGTCGGTTTATAGAGTTCGGCTCCTTAAAATGCACATGGTTCATGTCTAATTCTTCGACAGTTCTTTGACTTTCTGAAGGCCCAAGACCCTTTCATGTCTAATTGTTCTATCCTAGGCCTCTTCCTGGCCACTAGGGGGCCAGGAACAATCAGAAACGAGCGCAATTAGAAATGAGCTCGATTAGAAATGAACGACGTGTATACGGGGACCGGACCATGACCAAGCTGTCTCGGGATTTTGTCGCTGCCGATCTGGGTCAGTGGTCCATGCCGGCCGTCGCCGATTCGCCGGGACGATCGGAGAATCAACGCGAACCAGGATCGGCGGGGACCGAGATAGACACGGCATTTCCGAGTGCAATCTTGGTCATGGTCCCCGCTTCTTTCCCCTCCGATTCCGACCCACCCCCTTATCGAGGACGAACTCCCCTTTTATTCGGAGCGCGGCTGGCGGGAGGGGACGTCAGAGGGTGGCCCTTCGTGCTGCTGCTGCTCGTGCCGCCTCCCTCCCTCCACACCCCTCCCTGCTTCCCTGGGGGCAGGAACATGACCATTACACTGCGTTCGCCATTGCCTTTCGCACAGTGTAGTGGTTCAACGCAGAGCGTGCGACGTTCAACACAAAGCGTGCGACGTTCAACAAAAGATGTGCAGCATCATTCGGGCGCCGGCTCCCTTACCTCGGTGTGTGCACGTGCGGCTCCCACCTCTTCCGCCTGCGCGCTGCGAGCGCCAACGTCGGATGCCGCCGGAGCCGAGCCGAGGACGAGGAGGAGGATGATAAGGAGGAGGAGGAGGAGGAGGAGGAGGAGGAGGAGGAGGTGGAAGAGAAGGTGGAAGAGGAGGAGGATGAGAAGGAGGAGGAGGAGGAGGAGGAGGAGGAGGAGGAGGAGGAGGAGGAGGAGGGGGGGGCGCCCGCGAGCAGGAGGGAGGTCGGAGTCCCATGCCCCGCCCAGTGATTCCGTCGGTTTGCGTGTGTGTCTTGCGCTGCGGGACCCGCTCCAAGGCTCCAGAGGCTCCAGAGAGGGGCGCCCGCGTGAATTTGGCAAGTCTCGCCCCTGGCCCAGACCGTGATCCCCAGACGTGCGTCACCAGGCGCCCCCGGGGAGCCTCCCCGAGAGGCTCCCCGACGCCCAGAAGGGAGGGCCAGAGGCGCCCCACCGCAGCTGCCGAGCACAATATCCCCCCTTCTCGACCCGCGTCGGAGGCCTAGAGTTGTGGAAGTCGAGTTGTGGAAGTCGGAGGCCAAGAGGCCTAGGAAGCATGCTGCCAAATAATTTCCAGGTGTCTAATAGATGTTTCAAATCTGTTTTGAATATGCAAAAAATGGTTGAAACAGTTTTAGAACATATTTTCACAGTTTAAACACATCTTTCATTCAATCATCGGATTGTTAGAGTGTCCATTGTCATGGCATCCACAAGCCAAGAGGTTGACACCAACACCAAGATAGGCGGTGCGTCTTCACCGAGGGAAGATGCTCCCGATCTCGGTAATGGGAGTAAGAGTCGGGCTTTCGAACTGGCCGAACTACTACAACCAGCTCCAAAATCTACAGGGGGATTTGGGGCGAAAGATCAAACATACTTCAAACAGACCCCCCAAACGCCCAAACATATTCAAAACAACGTCTCCAGACTATGTTTTGACTATTGTTGAATGTCCTGCTGTAGTGGGACAGGCCCGACTTGAATCTAGGATCATCTTACCCTTGTGGAGCCCCTGTGTCGGTGTCGGTGCCCATTTCCAGGCCTCCAAACACGCGGGGGTCTTGGTCGACGAGATCTGTACGGATCCACTGCCCGTGGCCAGGCCCGTCTTGGGTTGTGCTGGACGATCAACGGAGAGGAAGCATGTTGCCAAATCATTTCTAGATGTCTAGGACCTGTGTTAAACCTGGTGTTAACATGTAAAACGCAACACATTTGCAGGACATCTTTCCTACTTTTCAAACACATGTTTAGTTCGATGATGGGACTGCTGGGGGGTCCGTTGTCGTGGCATTCACAACTCTTGGGCCCAGGGAGCGGTGCATGTGTCCCCACGGCCAGGCCAGGATCGGCGGCCAGCCCGGGGGGGAAGTGAGAGGGGGCGGGCCTGCTCACAATGCCCCGAAGTCTTCCGGCACCCAGAGAAGTTTTGGAGGCTTCCCCCGAAGACGCCAAGCGAATTCTCAGGAGGTCGGAGGGTTTCTGAGAAGCCGCGCCGCCTTCCGAGAAGGCCTTCCCCTTCTCACTTCCCCCGCAGGCGCGCCGCCGGCAGGAGGGCCTACACAGGAGCGGCGGTAGGAGGAGGAGGAGGAGGAGGAGGAGGAGGAGGAGGAGGAGGAGGAGGAGGAGGAGGAGGAGGAGGAGGGCAGGGCGTTGACTTGTACCTCGACCGTTTTGCGTGAGTTCTTCGCCGATGAGCGAGCGGCCTCCCGTGCACGTGAGGAGGAAGGTCTCCCCGTGTAGGGGCGGAGGGCGATCCGTTTTGCTATGAGGCACTTCTCTCGTGTGAGGCAGTCCTCTCGCGCGGGTTCGCTCCTCTGTTCTCCATGGCTCCATGGTTCCTCCCCTCCTCCTCCTCCTCCTCCTCCTCCGCCTCCTCCTCCTCCTCCGTCGGCGCCCGCGGTCCGCCGCGGCGCGCCCGCAGCGGCGCCGAGGGCGCAAGGCGCTTGGAGCCGTCCAGGGGTCCGCAGTGGCTCAGCATTGGTTCCGACAGTGGGAGGTAGCGTTAAGTCTGGCCTGGCTCTCTGCAGGAGGAGTTGTCAGAAATGGGCAGAGAATGACATGGGGACGATTTGTTTGACTATTTTTGGGCATTTTGGGGTGCATGTTTTGACTACGTTTTATATTTCCGCAAAAATCCCCGTGTAGGGGGACAGGCCCGATTTCAAGGTAGCGTCGTGCAAACCATGATTCATGGGCAAGCGAAAAAGTCCCAGAGAAAGCCCCCACATGCAGCTCCGAAAGGGTGGGACGCCCCAGGAGCGGGTGCAGCTCTCCATCGTGACGTACAACACGCTGGTGGACGCCTGCGTCCGGGGCCCGGGCACTGGGTGCAGTCGTCAGTGCCCAAGGTCGGCACGATCGAAATGGGTGCACGGAGAGAATGGGGACGAACACTAGCAGCCACGCCTACCCGTTTTGACTTGGGATCGCTGCAGGTGTCGCCGCGGACGCGGTCCACTTGACACAGAAGAAGTTGGCTGCCCGATAGCGGCCGCTGTCGGTTTGGGACATCGCTCGTTTTCTGGAACGGGCCTGGGCCCAGGGCTCTCTTTGACTAGGTAATCCTGGTGCCAGGCCTCAACTTGCGCACGGCAGGCAAATTCGTTCTGCGATTAATATCGAGGTGCCGCAGGGTGGACGACTGAGAAAGTTGAGGAGTTCCCGGGCGAAACGCTTGATTTTGAAATTCCGATTGGTAAAGCACACGGTGAAGTACACATGGTCGTGTGTTGCGGGTGTCTCGAGCGAAACGTCTGTTCTGCAGAATGTGTTCAGGATGTCTCGAGCGCAACGCTTGTTTGTTTTGTTCCTCTCCTGGGGATCAGAATTCAGAGGATGTCTCAAGTGAGCTGCTTGTGTTCACATGCCCATGTCTTGAAGATGTCCTGAGCGAGACACATGGTTTAACACGTCCAGGTTGCCAAGGTTGATGTTTAGCATTAGCATTCGTTAAACATGTCTCGAGTGAAGCGCTTGTTTTCACGCGTCCATGTCTCCCAGGTAGGTGTTTAGCATGAGGATTTGTTGAGAACGTCTCGAGCGAAACGCTTGTTTGCACTTGCCCAGGTCGCCCAGGCAGATGTCTAACATGAAGATGGTTGAGGATGTCTCAAGCGAGACGCTTGTTCTCGCGTGTTCAGGTCGCCCTGGCGGATGTTGAGCATGAGGAGGTGTTGAGAACGTCTCGCGTGAGGCGCTTAATGTTATGTGCTCTGGTCGCCAAAGCGGATGTCTGACATGAAGATGTGTTGGGGATGTCTAGAGCGAACCGCTAGTTTTAACGTGTCCAGGTCGCCCAAGCGGATGTCTAGGATGGGTTGAGGATGTGTTGAGCGAAACGTTTGTTTTTACATGTCCAGGTCGCCCAGGCGGATAACGAACATGAGGACATGGGCAGGATGTCTCGAGCCAAACGCTTGTTTCCACGCGTCCAGGTTGCCCATGCAGATGTCTAACATGAGGAAGTATTGAAAACGTCTCGAGCGAGACGCTTGGTTTCTCGTGTCCAGGTCGCCCTGGCAGATGTCTAGCATGAGGATGTGTTGACTGAGACGCTTGTTTTGACGTGTCCAGGTCGCCCAGGTGGATGTATGAGGATTTCTTGAGGACGTCTCGAGCGAAACGCTTTTCGCAGTACAGCGCATCGCAGTCCAACCCCGCCCGTCCGTGGGGCGTCCCCTGGCGCTGGCGCGTCCCCTGGCGCGTCCCCTGGCGACGCTCTGGCGTGACGTGCCTGGGCACGTCCCCTGGCACGCCACTCGGCGTGGCACGTTCCCTGGCTCATCCTCTGTCGCGTTTCCTGGCTCGTTCCCAGACGTTTCCTCTGCCCGTTCCGTGGCGCGCCCTTTGCAACGTCCCTGGACAAGACGGCCTCTGGCCGCCCCTTGGCACGCGCCTTGGCACGTCCCGTGGCAGTTCCCTGACACGTCCAGGCACGTCCCCTGATACGTACCCTGGAACGCCCTCTGGCGCATCCCGGCATCCCCGTATTGCGCCCCTGGAACATCCTGTGGCGTGTCATTCATTTTGGGAGTTGAGTCGGATTTCGAGGTCGAGTTGATTGAACGTCCCGCACGTTTGCATTTCAACTAGCTCTGGGGCAGCTACTTTGTGCTCAGGCAGCTCGAGCTCAAGATCCAAATCAGTTCGGTCAGGACTCGGATGCCAAGGAGGATTCGATCCACAACGCTATAGAGCACAATCGTGGCATGGCACATCGCAGTTCAGCACTGCACAGCACAACGCAGCCCTTTGCACGGCACATCAAGGTCGATATTTTCAGTATTGCAATTGCCCGTCGTCCAATCAGGTGTCTTGAAAACGTTGCCATGCCTCACATTTCTATATTCCTTTCCGGGTTCTTGGGTCGACCATGGTTGCATCGTGCCCTTGTTTTTGGTGCCCATTTCGGGTGTCCGAACCAGAAACCAGGACAATATTTTTTGGAGAGAATGAGACTAGAATATGTTGGCCGTGGTTGTTGCTTTCTCGTGGGCGCCACTGCTCTGGTTGACCAACAAGTCCAAATTTACGAGGCCCTGATCAGCAGGCGCGACGCGTGGGGCGTTTCAGAAAGGGCACCTGTCTGAAGGAGTCGATGAGTTGATGCCTGTTCCTCTGCGCAGGGTGGCGGAAGGCCGGCGGCAACAACATTTGGACCAGTCCGACAGCGGAAGGTCGTCGGAAGCCGTCAGGGATAAGGTATGTTCGACAACACGTGTATATGTTTGCATGTCTATGCAGCAGTATAGTCATGTGATGTGGTAATTAATATGTTTGTAGATGTGTAAGTCGATGATTTTATGTATAGTAGTAAATACCATGTTGCGTACCCACCCCATTGGCATCGAGTGACACGAGGAGTTTGTCCATGCTGGTAAGGAAAATGGCAGTGCAGGTGCTGTCCTATGTTGTGCAAGCTACATAGGATGCGCTCACGTGGCGATTCAAAGGACAACAACAGAAGGACGAGGAGCGAAAACCCAGGCTTGAGGAAGACATGCGGGCGGGAACGAAGGACTTGAAAGGACGCGTGGTGTGGCCGACCCGTCAGCGCGGCAGCAGCTGAGGGAAAGTGGCAGGGGGCAGAACACGACGGCGAAAGTGACGGGGGCAGACCGAAGAGTGACGTTAAATATGCAGCGTTGCCTGCGCCATGTCGCCGCGGCGCTCGACCACAGGATTTAACCGGCTAGTAGTTTGCGCAAGAAGCGAGCGAGGCCTAGCTCGACCGCCAGCTCCCCTGCTCCCTTCCTGCACGCTCCAGTGCGGGAGCTGAACGCCCGGGCGGCCCGCGGCAGCGCCCCGCTGGACCGCCGAACAGCCCACGAAAGCGGCGACGGCGTGGCACATCGCAGCCCCGCTGAGATGGCGGGGTCCGATCTGATTTTGCGTGGGACGTCACTCCCTTGGACCCCCTGCAGCCTTCGAAAAAGGTGACAGTTTCGCAGATTGCCGGCCCAAAGGGATGGCGAGGTCTAGTATGAGTCTGCGTGGGACGTCACCCGGCTGGACCCCCGAGCGGCCGTCGAAAGTGGCGACAATATCGCAGATCGCAGCCCCACAGGGATGGCGAAGTCCGATCTGGTTTTGGCGTGGGACGTCACTCCTTTGGACCCCCCCAGCGGCCCTCGAACGCGGCAGCCGTTTCGCAGACTGCTGCCCCACAGGGGCGGCGAGGTGTAATATGAGCCTGCTTGGGACGCCACCCCGTTTGACCCCCCAGCGGCCCTCGAAAGTGGCGACCGTTTCGCAGATCTCAGCCCCACAACGACGGCGAGGTCGAATCTGAACTCGCGTGGGACGTCACTTCGCTTGACCCCCAGCAGCCTTTGAAAGTGGCGACGGTTTCGCAGACCGCAGCCCCACAGGGATGGCCAGGTGTAGTCTGAGTCTGCGTGGGACGTCAGTCCGCTGGACCCCCCAGCAGGCTACGAAACCGGCGACAGTTTCGCAAATCCCAGCCCCCCAGGGATGGCGAGGCATGATCTGAGTCTGCGTAGGACGTCACTCCGTTGGCGACAAATTCGCAGACCGCAGCCCCAAAGGGATGGTGAGGTCTTACTTGAGCTTGGGCAAAACGTCGCCCCGAAGCAGCCATTTAGAGTGGCGACAGTTTCGCACATCGCAGCCCCACAGGGACGGCGAGGTCGAATATGGGTTTGCATAGGACGTCACTCCACTGGACCCCCAGCAACCCTCGAAAGTTGCGACACTTCGCATATCGTAGCCCCACATGAACCGCGGAATATAAACTCAGTTTGCGGTGGACGCCACCCCGCCGGACTCCAAGCAGCCTTATGAAGTGGCAACCGTTTAGTAGATCGCAACCCCGCAGGGAGGGCGAAGTAGGAGACAAGCTGGAGCGCAAGACGGAACGAGGTTAGAGGCAGGCAGGAATGATGAGAGAAAGAGGGAGGCGGGGAGGAAAGAAGGCGGAAGGTGTGCCACCGCAGTGCTCCATTCAAAACGAGTACCCATCGCATGAGGTTTGATACTAATAGTTGTACTCATGTGATATACATACATATATATATATATATATATATGTATGTATATGTCTCATACTATGTACACACATCGTTGTATACTATAAATTTGTATATATGCATATACAGTTGCCTATCATGTGTGTAGTGCTCGGTATTTGCAATATCTATGTATGTTTGTATATGTATGTAAACGGCATGTCTATTCATATTCGTAGATGTCGGTGTAAATATTTGTGAGTGTGCATCCTATAAATGTCATAGAATATCACATATGCATATGTAGATGTATATGCGTGCCCTCTGCCGCCAGCTCCCTTTCTACCAGAATGGGATATGCACCAGCTGCGTCGGGATACCGGTAAGCGCTGCTGTGAGGGCAATCGTCGAGACAAATTGAGATCATATGGGACCGTTGAACTGTGTGCTCAGCTGCCCCGTTACGCCTGTTTGAAATTCAACACGTGCCGTGTTCAAAAGGCCGTGTCAACACGTTGCGTGTTGGCGTCACGTGTCGGCCATTTGTTTGGCGAACGTATGGCGCCAGACATACGTTTTCCGTCTACGTGTTGTTTTCCGTGTTTGCTTGCTACGGATTGCAGGTTGCGTATCGGGGCAGCTAAGACTTTGTGTTGCATTTGCCCCGAATGGGAGGAGGCCCAGGGTTCTGTTTGTAGTTGTTGCCCCCCCGGACTCGACTTAGAGAAGGCCAGCGAATCTCCGTTCGATACGAAACAACATAACATCAAATTCGGTGAGGAAAAAATGCATTTCGCGCACGCCGGCTCGAGGAAAGTGGACGGCCCGTGTGGGATCCGCCAATTATTACGAGGTCTGGTGACCTTCGTTTCCCTAGTTAAAAAGGTACGGAGCGTGTTTCCCAGAATCCTTTACCAAGAACGTTGTCAGTAGATTTTGAAAATCGCACATACATATGGAAATGTTGCCTTTCTGCGTGCCCGCTCGAGGATGGCGCGCCCTGCGCGCCGAATATCTGAGGATGTCTCAAGCGAAGCGCTTGTTTTGCAGAACTTGAGCGGCCATGGCGCCCTAGGATGCCCAGGTGGTCCTGGGAGCCCGAACACAGGTAATGTACTAGGTAACGTGGCCCTGGGAACGTGGACGTAGTGCAATTCGCAAAAAGGAGGGCTGCCGTGGGAGCGCGGACGCAGCGTAGCTTACGAGGGATCGTGGCCCTGGGAGCGCGGACGCGAGGTAATTTACGAGGGATGCCCTGGGGGGGCGGACACAGCGACATACGGGTTTCAGTGTGCCCGATGTCCCATATCTTCTTTTGTCTCCTCCCGCAGACGGCGCGATCCGCGCCCCATCCCTGCTGGAGCGAGCCTAGGGGTATTCAACATGCGACCGGCGGATTCTACACACAAGTATATGTGCGCGGAGAGGATGTATCCAGTACGCTTTCGCGTATGAAGTGGCCAAGTATGGGACCGTCTGTTCGACCTTGAGGATTTCTCAAATTATGGTGCAATGAAATGTATTGGGATTTAGTAGGTCCTCCCGTGTGCATGTACTGAGTTCTAGTGGGATTTAGTGGGGGCGCAAGTGAGATCTAGTGGGATCTAGTGGGTTTAGTGGGGGCCACTGAATCTAATTACCTCGGCGCTCGAGCGACTACCTGAGGCTCCGATGCCCGGCCACCTAACCGTGTCAGGCGCGTGCGCGCGCACTTTCGGCACATGTTTTCACGCGTGTAGACTTACGCACAGGGTCCCACGTGCGACCGCGGATGCGCCACACGTGCACCTGGGTGACCGAGCGGGGTATCCAACATACGTTGGGCACGCGTGCGTTGGGCACGGGCTTTCGCAAGTGGCCCCCCCCAGGGGGGGTGTCCAGCATGCGGCTGGAGGATGCAAAAAGAGCCGCGCGGAGCGAGGGTATCCAACATGCGTTCGGCTCGCGTGCGTATGGCATGCGTTCTTGTTAGTATGTCGGCCCGCAGGGAAGGTAAGCAACATGCGGCCAACGGTGAACATGTTTTGTTGCATGTGTTTTTGCGCGCGTGGCCCCCAGTGGGAGTATCCAACGTGCGGCCAGCGGGTTCCTTATATGTGGAAACGAATGCGCGGGGCGTGGGGGCGTCCAACCAGCTTTAGGCACGCGTTCGCTTGTCGCGCATCTTCACGCGTTTAGCCCCCCAAGGCGGACAGTTATCCAACTTACTCTTGAGGGGGGGGGACCGACGTGCGTCTGGCAGTCGTCCGTTTGGCACGTGAGTTCACGTGTGCCATCCCCTCGCTGACTGGGAATTCTGATTCCAATTTTTGCTTGCCAGATACGCAGACGCATGTGAGGGTTGGTGGCCCTTATAGCACGGGCAGGCAATATCCTGGCTCGATGCCGACGAACCAGAACGTAATGTGATTTGCTGCTCCTCAGGACACGCCATTGCAACAACGGTCATGTTTCGGCATATTGGGGGCCAAAACAATGCGGGGCGTGCCGATATGGTGTAACAACCGGCGAGCCAGCAGAACGGCAAGTACATCACACCGTGGCGCACGAATGGCGCAGACGAGCATCGCGAGGAACATCATACTTAATGCCATGAGCATCGTATTTGAAGGTTTTGCGAAATGATGACCAGCAAAGTTTTCAGTTCTGTTGTACTGGCGACTACAGAGATGCCGGGAATGCCGATGAACATTGCAGCGTGAAATTGAAAACCAATTGTGGATTGAAGAGTTAGAGAAGGTACAGACAAGATCGATGACCCTGTTGACAGACGATCCACAACGCACCGTGATTGCTTCCTCTTCAGGATACGCTTCTGCAGTAACGGTCATGGTTCGGCATATTGGTGGCCGAACCAGTACGGGGCGTGCCGACATGACGTAACAACCAGCGAGGTAGCCGGACGTCAAATACATCACACCGTAACGCATAAATGACGCAGACGAGCAGCGCGAGGATGAAGAAGTCGTGAAATGATTGGCCAGTAAAGTTTCCAGTTCAGTCGCGCTAGCGACAACACAGATGCCGATCATGCCGATGAACATTGCTGCCAGAAATTGAAAAGCAAATTTTGGTTTGAAGAGCCAGGGCAGGTACAGACCGCAGACCTCAGACGACGACGCAGACCGCAGCGATGACGACGGCGGCGACGAGGAGGGAGGCGGTGGCGACGATAATGATGGCGGCGCTGGCGATGCCGAGGGTCATCCCTGGGCGGTTCCCTGTGGGTCCGCGGTGCCCGAACCTGGCCAGGGAAGGCCACGATTTAGGTGGTTGAGCTCCGAACACGGCCGTGGTCCAACAACAATGGCGTCGGCCAGGGTGGTTGCGGGTGCTTCCTCCTCCCCGTACCCCTCCTTTTCTTTCCCCTCCTCTCTGTCCTCCTCCTGCTCCTCCGTCCCTTGTGTGGCCTTGCGCTTTAGCTTTAGCCCTTCCTCCTCCAGTGCTCTAGTGACATTATGATCTGGCTGGTTTTTTGCACGTCGATGTCGTATGGTGAGACTGTCGTGGTCACGATGTGTTCTGTTGCGTTATTCAGCGATGGCTCTGAAGCATTCCCCTCGGTGGTCAGTTCGCTCCCCCCCATCCCCGCTTCCAGTCCCACAGGGCTCCGCCCTTGACACTTGCAGCGCTTTTCCCTCCACCCCCTCTCCCCTCGTAGGGACGGACGGTGCCGCATGCGGGCGGCTCGGTCTCCCCTTTAAGACGCCCTGCTCGCGGCCAGTGACGGCCGCCCTTCAAGCGGTAGCCGTTGGTAGGCGCTTCTTGCGCACCCGAGAGCCTGTCTCCAAGCTTGCCGCAGGCCAGGATAGTTGGCTTGCACCGGCTCCTGCTTGCTCTGCGTTGCCTCTGCTCGCTCTGCGCCGCCTCTGCCGCTTCCCCTCCCCCTCCTCCTGGTCTGCGCCTGTTCGCAGTGCATGTTCCTTTTGCCCCTCGTCCTCTCCTCCTCCTCCTCCTCCTCCTCCTCCTCCTCCTCCTCCTCCTCCTCCTCCTCCTCCTTCTCTCCTCCTCCTTCTCTCCTCCTCCTCCTCCTCCTCCTTCTTGTCTCCTCCTTCTCCTTCTCCTCCTCCTACTCTTCCTCCTCCTTTTTTTCTCCTGCTCCTCCTCCTCCTCATCCTCCCCCTCCTCCCCCTTCTGTCTGCACCGCATCGTGGCCGGGCAAGCGCCTGTCGCACCTGCAGCGCGAAGGTTGCAGGGTGCGACCACCTCGAGTTTGTGTCCCCGTCGGCTTGGGTCAGGGGCTGCGGCCCGCAGGGTCATTATTGTTTTACCTGATCGGGTTCAAAAATTGAGTTCCCATGTGCTCCATAACTCCATCGTGTCACACCCCTCGAGGGACGCGGTGCTGTGCTGCCCCCAGGTCGGGGCGTCGATTCGAGCGATTCCAGGTGGTTGGCGATTCCGAGTCGGCTTGGCGTTGCCAGAGGCTCGCAGGCCCCAGTCGCCTGTAAGATTTGTTTTTTTCTCGGTCGTAGTTATGGATATTTTTACATGGGTCTTTCCGTCGTTTGTATCCATGTCCACTGCTGGCTGTTTGAGAGGGGTCCCTTGTGAGAATTCGCGTTTGGTCTGGCGTTTAGGGTCGTTGGGTGGCCCTCAAGGTGGATCGCGGCTTTGTTGGCGAAGAGCAGATCGCTCTTGCTTGTCCGCGTCTTTGCTAGCGCTTGTCCTTTCACACACCCAGACCATGGCGGCAGCCATCCCTGCCGCTCAGGGACCTAGTTGTCGGGGGAAATCCCCGCCAGCACCGAATATGAGAATGTATTGCTGGTGGAGGGGGCTCCTACTCCTCCCCGTCCTCCTTCTTTCCTCCTCCTTCTCCCCGTCCACCCATTCCCTATTTACCCGTCCTGATCCTCGCTCCCTCCTCGACTTACCCCCCTCCTGCTCATCCTCTTCCTCCTCCTCCTCCACCTCCTCCTGATCCTCCTACCCCTCACCTTCCCCTCCTCCTTCTCTTCGCCCTCCCCCTCATCCTCCTCCTCATCTTCGCCCTCCTCCCCCTCTTCCTCTTCCCCCTCCCCCTCCTCCGCCTCCCTACGCCTCGCCCCCCCCCCTCCTGCCCCCGTCGAGCGCGCGGCCCGAGGCGAAGAGTTACGGCATGTCGCGCATCCCGGCGCTGCTTGAGGACACAGCGGCCGGGGCCTAAGAGACGGGGGTCGGTGCAGACGGGGGTCAGCCAGGGCACCGGATCCTGCAGGATCTTGCGAAGAACCCTTCTGGCTGACCCGGGTAAGCCAGCCGCTCGCGGCCGCGAGGCGGCCGCGCACATTGGCCGACCCGGGTTTGCGAAGACTTGCGTTGCAGTTTGTTTTTCCCTGCATTGCAGTTTTTAGGTTTCCTGCTGACCCGGGTCTGGATTGACCCGGGTCAGGAGATCCCCGAAGCGGGGACTTCGGGGGCCCCCAAACTGGGTGGTGACCACACCGTGTGGTGAGTCGATGGGGATTCGGGGTCACCGCACGGTTTCGGGACTCGAGTCCCTCTCCGAGAGTGCTTCGGGCGACTGGAGCCTCCAGTGTCCCAAGACCGTGCGGTGACTGAGCGTGCGAAGAGCTACGGCATGTCGCGAATGCCAGCGCTGCTGGAGGACGCGGCGGGGACTCCTGCCCCTCGGGGGCGGCCAAGAGGGGGGTGATGACTAGGGGGGGGGGGATATCGTGGCGTCGGCCATGATATTCGGAAACTGAAAGAAATACATTGCCAGTGGCGGACTGCTTTTCAATCCCAGGACTTCTTGATGGTCGGGAACGACGTCGGGGTGGTGTGGTGTATACTTTTCCCCCGTTTTTTCATTGGGGAAACGACGAAAAATGTATACACCAGGATCCCGTATACACCAGGATCCTCTTTCCTGTGCGAGTTCTAGTGCGGGGCCGGAAAAAAGCGTCGCTGTATAGAGTTCGAATCCTTAGATTTCTCCCTAGATCTCATGGCGCCTCTTCTTGTCTCAGTACGTCCCTGGCCCTGCTCCCTGGGCCGCGCATTTGCCGCCAGTCATGATTTGCACCCCCCTCTCTTGGACACCCCCCTCTTGGCCGCCCCCGACTCAGTGGGCCCTGCAAACGACTCCAGTTTTTCTCCGTGTCCGAAAAGTGTTTTGAAAGTGCAAACGGCCAACAAAAAGCAGCCACCGGGAACGACGGGGCCGTTTTTTCACCGTTTCCGATTTGCCGTTTTGATGCCGGCTCCGGCGCCGTTTTTGTTGCCGGTCCTGTCGCCGTCTTTCTTTCCCCGCTTCCAGCTCCCGTTCCAATCCCGGAGCCGTTTTTGTTGCCGTTTCTGGTCGTTTTTTTTTGCCGCTGCCATTTTCGAGAGACATTTTAATCGGAAACGGTGGAACACATTGCCCTGCTGTTTTCGGGACCTTGGCATCGCTCGGACGTGTGCATTTTTCCTCCGGCGAGGACCATCGAGGAGAATCCTTGATCATTTTTGGCGAAAAAGCCACGCACGAAACCGAAAAAAGCACAGGGAATGGACGTCCGAGCGATGGCCAGGGACCCACTAAGCTTTTGCCCCAGTGCGGACGCAGAACGGTCAAGAACTAATGTTCCGCAGACGGGGACGCCTGCCCCAGGGCGGCTGGGAAGCTTTTACCCCCGCCTGGCACCGCTGGGGCATGAGCTTGCTGCCCGCCCCCATTCAAGCAGTGGCGAAGCGTCCTGGCCCGCTTATAGCCCTACCAGACAATGTTATAAGAAACTTTGCGGTTTCCACGACATGTTCTTAGAACCTTTCTGGCTGAAGCTCCCCCTTGTTGTAACACATAAGGCTTAAGTTCTAAGAACATACCAGACAATGTTCTAAGAAACTTTGCGGTTTCCACGACATGTTCTTAGAACCTTTCTGGCTGAAGCTCCCCTTGTTGTAACACATAAGGCTTAAGTTCTAAGAACATTGTTTTGGTTCTTAAACTATTTTCAGGTTCTAAGAACATTTCGTGGTAGGACTATAGGAATGCCGGGACGCTCGGTCCCTGCTCAACCCATGGCGGAGCAGCTCAGCTTGTATTGTGCTTCGCCCTCTAGAGGACAAGGTGCCGATTACCAGGAGATCCCAGCATCGCATTTTTTCACAACGGGCGATTTGCATTCTTTCGGGCCCTGGGGCGTTCACGGGTCGGCCCCGCTCGAAACATTCAAAACCAAGATGGGGTCCATATCCCGCGGCGTGATTTCTCGCAATGATCATTTTTTCGAGATGTCGGATCACAGGGTACCGCGACCCTTACATCGTTTTGTTTATTCTTGGGCCTCTTGCCTTTGTCGCCACGGCTGGATCCTCGGAGACATTCTATGGTCAGAGCGCCCTCCGGGAGAGGTCCATGCAGCAGCAGTATCGGTGTTTGTTGGTCTGGTCCCCCCAATTGGGGAACGAACATCAGACTCAATTTCAGTCGTAGGCGGCCAAGTGGGGGTGATGAACGGGGGGGCGATATCAAGTCCGGGAACACGAGATATCTCCCTGGCCTCTCTTCTGATTTCGATGCGTCCCTTGGCCCCCCGAGGTACCAGCGCAGGGGGCGGCGGTGAGGGAAATTCCTCCTGAGTCGGGCCTCCCACCTGCGCGCGCCAGAGTCTCCCCCGATTGCGCTCAGCCCGAGTTCTCCCAGATGGCACTCTGCCCCAGGTAGTACACTGGTCGTACGCCCAGAGCCGGGATGGCAAGGCGACAGAAGTTTTTGGAAGGTTCTTCGGAAGGGTTCTGGAAATTCTTGGAACGGATCGTTTGGAAAGCTTGACGACACACAGCGGGAAACAGGCCTCACGCTGCCCCATGTAGAACATCGTACGTGTTTTCAGTCTTTCCCCTGAAGCAGGTGGGGTCTTGGAGCAAGCGGGTCTAGTGTTCACTTGGGTCGCATTTGGGGGACCCCAAGCAGGGCCCTACCTGGACCTTGATCCCGGAAAATTCGGGTGCCCAGCAACAGCAGCAGTTGTTTGTATTTTTCCAGCTTTGGCAGCCGCCACACGACATGTCGTCCCCCCTCCCCCCGCATGCGATTTTGCATAGGGTGCCCTGCGATTCAAGATCTGGGGCCTGTTCAAAAAAGACGCGTGCCCCCCCCCCCCCTGAACGGCTGCGGCCTCCGAATGCCAAGTGGGAAACGATGCTCGACATGGCTATGCAAACGCAAGCGAGGCCAATCGCGGAAACATCGGCCCCCCCCGATCTCCCTCGCGGCATTTTCGACCCCAGAGCCCGTGTCAGACTCAACAGCGCCTCCCAGGAGGCGGCGCCGAAGCGCGAGGGGCCCACGCCACGGAAATTTTGACCCCTGGCATGCCCAGGCCGGGCGTGAGGCGGTCGCCACCCCTTCACGTCGGGGCCTCTTGTGCCGCCCCGTGCCAGCCGAGTGCCTTTCGAGGTGCCAAGGGGACAGGCAGGAACTGGAGGAGGAGGAGCAGGAGGAGGAGGATGAGGAGGAGGCCTCGCGGCTCAGGAGGCCCGTCTAGGGGCCGCGACGATGCCTTGGACGGGGGCACGGCGGCCAAGCTTGACGAACCGGGCCCGATGCGCCGCCAACTCCCGATGCCTCGGCAATGCGGCGCGATCCTCTGACCCCATCGGGGAAGCCTACAACCAAAAGACGACTAAGGATGAACAACTACCTCCTGGGGAACGGGTGGAGACATCCAGGGGCCCACGTCGTTGAACAAACGACGACGACGTCGGGGCGGCGCCGCGCCAGACTTTCGCCGCGCCGACGTCGACGACGCATCGCCGACCTCACCGAGTCATCTCCGATACATCGGCCATGCATCGGCGCTGCGGCGCGATCCTTTGACCAGATCCTCTCGGACCCTCTCTAGGTGTCCTTTCTTGGCGGCCCAAGGGCCTGGCAGGGCCCCCCCAGATGGTGAAAACGACCAGAAATTTTCAGTGGTAGTTTCCTCACGGGGTGAGGGGTCTGATCTCATCGGGTTGTCCTCCTCTCGCGCGAATGTGTCCTTTCGTGTGCGCGCGCAACTTCATCGCCGATCGTGTTGCCTCGCGTCGCCTGCCGAGCTCTTGCTTCGTGTAGCTGGTCCTTCCGCGGTCTCAGGGAGGGGGAGGGGAGATGGAGGACGAGGGGTGGGGGGGAGGCAGGGGCGGGCAGGAGGGACGGACGAGGAGGAGCAGGAGGAGATGTAGGTCCAGAGTAAACCCAGCATGCGTGAACGAAGCTGCAAGACACTCTCCCGTCCCAAGTCCGCTGCTCATTCAAGGCCCAGGGAGCCGCCCTAGAAGGATTATCTTGTCATCCTGCTCTCTTGTTCATATTCCCCCCCTTTCGCTCTCCCCTCTCCTCTCGCTCCCGTTCTCGTGGGGCTGCTACTCCTGCCCCCCGCCTCCTGGTTGCCTCCCAGAGGAGATGGCGCGCTCCGAGATCCAGGCCAACGTGGTCACCTACAGCACCATCCTGAAGGGCTACGTCCAGGAGAACTCCCTCGACAAGGCCAAGGGGTGGAGGGCGGCGGAGGAGAGCGGGAGCAGCCAGTGCGGCTAGTGCTGGCCAGTTGTTGTTGTCTTCTCCTCCTGCCCCAGCTGCCCCTCGTGCTCCTCCTCCAGAAGTTTATGGGATCGGAGGACTGCTTGCTCCTCCTCGAGCGGTCTGGCTCGCGATCCGGCGTGGCCCGCCCACGCTATCCAGCTTTGGGCTCGACCGGGCCAGCCCGCCAGAGCGGTTCGCCGCCGTCAGGCTGCGGGCGATGCGAGCCCGGCTTCTCGAGCCGATGCGGGGCTGACCTCGCGGAGGCCAGAGGAGCGGCAGAGGCCACCGCCACCGAGAACCCATCGAGGAGGGGGGGGTGGGTGGACCTTTTTCCTGGGCGGCGGCGCGCCAGAGCGTCATCCGGTGCTGGGTGACACCTCGGGCGTGCCAGCGCCTGGGGGCGGGTCCCGCCCCGATGGGTTTTCGGTGGCGGTGGTCTCTGCTTCTCCCCTGAGGGGGAGGACAAGGAGGTGAAGGAGGAGGAGGAGGAGGAGGAGGAGGAGGAGGAGGATAGACTAGCCGCCAGAGAGGGAGCCCACAACCACGCATCCCTACGTGAGAAACCCAGAGGACCGCAGCTGTGGGCCCCTGGTGATCCCCGCAGTCCTTCAGCCCGCGCCTCGGAGCCGCGCAGCATGGCGAGGCTGTCCCAGGCGCAGCTGCCGCGCCGCTGCCCTCGCTCTCATGGCCAGGACTGGCGCCTGCAACTGGACTGGGACACTGCTTGCTAGGAGGAGGAAAAGGAGGAAAAGGAGCAGGGGAGGAGGAGGAGGAGAAGGAGGAGGAGGATGAGGAGGATGAGGAGGAGGACACGGAGAAGGAGGATGAGGAGGGGAGGATCAGCAGGGCATGGAGGATCTCCTGCACTCGGTCGGGGCCTGTGCGGGCAGGGAGGCGGGGGATCCCTCCGGGAGGCCAAGGGGGGGGACGACATTTGCTGTGCGCATCTGTTTCCAGCCCCGCCACAGCACGCCCCTCGAGGCATGGTCGCCGATCTTTTGCCGGGAGGCGCCATGCTATCCAGCTTTTGCACGGCTCGTTCTCTAGCCGCCTTTGCCACAACCCTTCTGTTAGCGTCCGCCCCGGGAGGCCAAAGGCCAAGGAGGAGGACCGGGCTGGAGAGTCGCCGTTGTCTCAATTGCTGGGTGAAGCCCAAACGGTGTGGTGACCACACCGCTCGGTGACTCAGTGGGGATTCGGGGTCACCGCACGTTCTTGGGACACGGGTCGTTCTCTCAAGACGTCTCGGGCGACTGGGGCCTCGAGGGTCCCAAAACCGTGTGGTGGCGGACCGCGCGGTGAGGTCGCTGGAGATGCCGACATCACCACGCGGTCCGTCACCACACGGTTTTGGGGCTCCAGAAGCTGGCCCTCCTCCGAATTCTGTCGCTGACCCCTCCAGACGAAGTGAGGCGTCCACGGAGGGGAGGGGGCGGTCCAGTTGGCTCGACTGCGGCTTCGGCGGAGCATGAGCTTCGGCGGAGCATGGCTTTGGGACGCCCCGATCGCTCGAGATCTCTTCGCGTAGCCCCAGGATCAAGGGAGGAGCAACCACTCGGACCGGACAATTGGCGTTTACTACGCGGCCTTGGGCGTGTTTTAAACAGCCCTGCCCTTTTCGATTCCTTCTGTGGGCGCGTCTACTAAAGGCCTCGCGTGTCGGGGTGAGTATTATCGGGCTGGATTCTCTGCCCTCTACAGAAGCAGGCCACAGCAAAACAAACACGTCAGCACGAGCCGAATGGAGGCCCGCGCGGATTTCTCGGGCCAGCGCCGGGCCCTTCCCCCAAGCCAGGAGGGGGATTGGCGGCGGAGTCGGGCGCGAGTTGCTCCGCGCGGCCCCGCAGGCGTTCGAGCTCATGGACGAGATGAAGCTCTCCAAGGCCGCTCCAGACGCGCCCTCTCCCCTCCGTCTGCCGCGAGAGGCCGCCGTCGCTGGCCCTCTGCCCCCTTGCTCCCTCCTCCCTCCTACTCCTGCTCCTCCTGCTCCTGCTCCTCCTCCTCCTCTTCCTCCTCCTCCTCCTCCTCCTTCTCCTGCTCCTGCTCTTCCTCCTCCGCCCCCCTCGCGCTCACTCCCCCTTTTCTCCCTCTCTTGTCCTCTGTCCCTCTAGCCGTGCTGCTGCCGTGCTGCTCTCTCTCTCTCTCATCCGCCCGAGAGCTATGCCGGTTCCCACCGGCCCGTCGTCTTCCCCACGTGGCCCGCGCGGAGGGAGCGTCGGGGCAGGACGAGGAGGAGGAGGAGGAGGTGAAGGAGGAGGAGGCGGAGAGAAGGAGGAGGAGGAGGTGGAGAAGGGGGAGGAAAAGCACTCCCCCCTGGGCCCCCCCCCCTGGGGAGGAGGACCGGAGCAGGATCGGCGTGGGAGAGGGGAGGGGAGGAGGAAGGAGGACCCCCAGGGACGGATGCGTATCTAACTCCCCTCCCCTCCCTGGGACTCCTCCCCACCTGGGGAGGAGGACCCGAGGAGGACCAGCGCGCCGGAGAAGGACCGGCGGTGGGGAGGAGGGCCCCCAGAGGCGACGCGAATCTGACTCCCCCCCCCCTCCTGGGACCCCCCTCGCCCTGCCTGGGAAGGGATAAAGGGAAGGGCTTCCCTTTGACGTAATGCGGGCGTGGATGGAATTCTCTCAAGCTGCGATCCCGTTCCCCGAACGAGGAAGGGTGCTCTCTCTCTCTCTCTCTCTCTTCCCCGACGGGAGAGGAGGATGGTAAGGAGGGTACGAAAGAAGGCTCCCTGTCGACGGGACCGGGCAGACACCCCACACACGCCGACAGGGTCGGCGGATTTCGAGGGGCCGCAACCGCGGGAATAAGACCAGCGTTGCAGTGGGAGCATGATTCGGAAGGACTGGAAGCGCGGAAGCAATGCCAACGCTGCAGCAGGGACACGATTGCGCTACAGCGGGACAATTGTTTGGAAGAGCCAAGAACGTGAAATGGAGCCAACTCTGTAGCAGGAGCGCCATTCTGAAAGCACATTACATACCAACTCGGCGGCATCCAGTGTATAACAAACAGTAGATGGAGGAGAAGGCCAGGACACCTCGACGGCGCCTTCGGGGGAGAGGGGAGAGCCGTATTCATAGTGTGCAACTTCGAATGATGAGGAGGTATGACGTTGAGGGGGAGGCAGGATGGGGAGGAACCCGTACAAGAGGGGGAAAGAAGAGCGAGAAACATGGGAGAGGCAAGCCAGGTTCGCTCGCGCCTCATCTGACATCCTGCCCCTCCTTCCCATCCCATCCCTTCCCTTTGCGCTGAATGCTTCTCTATCCGCGGACGCGTGTCGTAGCCGACCAGGAATTCCAAAGAACAGACCCTGTCGTGTTTTGCGCAGTCGGAATCGGGGAGTTGCGTGCACAGGAGAAGATGGCGGGTAAGCGGGAAGATGAGCAGGAGGAGAAGGGGGATGTGGCAGGAGGAGAACGAGGACGAACAAACGCAGCAGGAATTGAAGTGGAAGGAGCGGGAGGAGTAGCAGGGCCAGAGGAAGGCGGATGAGGGAAAAGGAGGTGGACGGCAACGTTGAGGAAGGACTCGGATCCCGAGATGTTTCTCGCCTGGGCGAGAGCGCAACTGTCAGCCAGCGACGGGGGCAGAGCCGCGATCTTTACACGAGGCCCACTCTGCAGCGGGAACACGGTTTTGGAAGGGCCGAAAACGCCCGGGATGGACAACACAAATCGTAAGAAAGGCCATTTCGCCAGCATCACGTGCGCAAAAAGCAATGCGTGGAGAGGAGGCGGCATTCTCAGGACATTCGGGGGAGAACAGAGAGTTCGTTTCTCATTGAATAATTATTTAAAAAGAGGAAGGAGACAATAAGAGCAGGAGGAAGATGAGGAGAAGAAGGAGAAGGATGAGGCGGGAGGAGGAGGAGGACACATGAACGAGTTGGTGGAGGAGGAGCAGAGAGAAAGTAGCAGGAGGAGGAGGCGGAGGAGGAGAGGAGAGAAGATGAGAGGTGGAGGATCATGCAAGAGGAGGCGATGTATAGTTTGTGCGTGTGCTTGCCCGGAGTATGCTTTGTGTCATTTGGTGCCTCACCGTCTTGTGTCGCGGCAAGTTTGTTTCCTTCCGAGTCGGAAGTCTTAGGCAGATTTCCCTTATGTGCGCGTTCAAGCGTCATATCTACCCGCCCTGTGGTGGTCCCGTCTACTTTGCCAATGCCATTGGTGCCCCTTGCCATCAATTTCGCCAGGCGCTCCAACCTTGCCCATCGCATTCTTCCATCCCTGCAGCTACCCTGCCCGAGCTCTCCTGTGTCATGCCATCAATCTCTCCTCGCGGTTCCCGAGTCCTGCACATCCTCTTTCGATAACGTCTGCGGTGGAGGTTGGACGTTTGCCCTATTGTGATTCACGTGTCGGCCACTGTTGATTAGTTAGTCGTCGACCATCTGCCAGCAAGTTGATCGGAACCTGGATTGAGGTATACCGTGGCTGATGCGGCGTCCTGCCCTGCTAGCTGGCAGCTGCGCTCACGATCCGAAGCTCTCTGGTGAGAGCACGGTTCGTTTTTACTTTCTTGTTGCGCCGCCCTCCTCACTCCTGTCCTCCGCTTCCCCCCCAGAGGCTCCGGCTGAAGCAGGCTAGCGTTGCCCCGTCTGCAGCAGAGCGGCGGACCACGCTTCGATCTGCCAAGGGCAGGGTGGTGGCGCTGGCCCTTTCTGAGGGCCAACCATGGCGGACAGCCAGGCGTGCCGTGTCTACGTCGGCAACATCGACTGGAAGATCTCATGGCAGGAGTTGAAGGACCACATGAAGTCGGCCGGCGAGGTGGCCTTCGCGGACATCCTCGAGGAGTACCCGGGCCGGTCCAAGGGCGCCGGGATCGTGGAGTTCAAGACCCCGGAGGGCGCCCAGAACGCCATCGAAACCCTCAACGACTCCAAGCTCGGCGAGCGCCTGATCTTCGTGCGGGAGGATCGGGAGAGCACCCGCACCAAGGGGAGCTTCAAGGGCGGGTGGAAGGGCAAGGGCAAGGGCGGCGGCAAGGGCGGCCTCCGCACCGGCCCCGGCGACAAGGGGCGGGTACTGTACGTGGGGAATCTGCCGTTCCGAACTTCCTGGCAAGACCTGAAGGACGTGTTCAAGGAGCAGGGGCAACGCCAGGGGGTGGTACAAGCCCAGGGAGGCCTCGCAGTCGAGGTTCGGGTCTCCAGGCGTTCGGGCGTTTGCGCCGGCTCTCGGCCTCGACCCGCTTTCCAGTGCTTGCGCCTTGCCGAGTGCGCTCGGGGGTTGCCAGAGTCGTCCCGGACGGCCGCCGGAGAGCCGAGTTGTGGCCCCAAAAACAGCTGGGCACGGGGAGAGGCTCAGGGGAGGACGCATCGACCCCAAAATGATCCATTGATCGCCAGTAGGGGCCTGGTGGCCCATCCCGCCTGGAAGCGTGCGGATTCGCTACAGAGGGCCTCTCGTCGATCTTTCAACGATGCATCGCCGATTCCTTGTTGATGTTTCCCACCCCTGAGCCTTTCCCCCCCGACGTTGCCCATCAAAGGAGTACGGGCAGGTGATCCGCGTCGACATCGCGGAGGATTGGGACGGGAGGTCGAAGGGGTACGCCACGGTCTTGTACGAGACCGAGGCTGAGGCTCAGAGCGCCATCGAGAATTTGCACGAGACGGACTTCCAGGGTCGTAACATGATGGTTCGCCTGGACACCTACGTGTGACCTCCAGGGGGCCGAGCGCGCTAGATCAATGGCATTCTGGTGACCGCTAACAGGGCGATCAACACAAACATAATGTAGACATAGCATGTTGAGTTGAAGCGTAGATGCGATATCGTCGCAACTCTTAGAAACCAAACAGTGAGTTCTTGCACCATGGGTGCGCAAGCTATGTGGAGCAAGCTATGTGGCGCAATATATGCGTGATGGTAGATATGTGTGGTTCAAGCTATGTGTGTGTGGGTGTGCAGGCTATGTGTGTGTGTCAAGGTGTAAGGCATGCCGTGGAAACAGTGTAAGACAAGCTGTGGGCAGTGCAAGCAATGTGATATCAAGTCTGAACACTACTTAGAAACACTACGTTCCATGCAGCATACACAGCAGCATATTCACGCAGTGCGATGAGCGCAAACTGCAAGACGCGGGATTCCGTCGTTGCGCCCGTATCATTCTCTATAGTCATGCCCGCATGCGTTGATGCGTCATACGTCCATAGCTCCATGCAACACCTCCGTGCCTCGATAATCCACCCATCCGTGCATTCATGCAGACATGCGTATAGACCCATACCCTCATACCTCATTTTGCCACCGCATACCTCCGTACCCCCACACTCTATATCACACCCAATAGACAGCTACATACATAGCCATCTACACATACATAAATAAGAACCACGCGCGCTTCGCGCGCGCTTAGTTTCTGGCGCAGACCGGGGCAGCGTCTCAACCTCCGCAAATCCAAGCCTCCATACGTCGCCGCGCCGTTCCTTCCGCCGCGCGGCCTTACGTTTTGGGGATGGTGTCGCGACCACCAGGGCAAACGCCGCCTCGGACGAAGAGTTTGCTGTGAGTCTGCCGCGGTGCCGACTTCGTCTACTTGGGCGCGTTCAAAACAACCAGCGCGGCAACACATCCCCAGACATCCATGCCATCTCACATCGTCCCCGCAAATCCGTCTTCGAATGCCCTCCATACCGCCACGCCCCTGCGTGGGCGTACCATCCATCCTCTCATAATTCCTGGACCTCTTCCACCCTGGCATACGGAATAATTCCGCAATCGGAACATTGGCTCGTCAGCAGAACGCGCGGCCCGTCAGCGGAACAGGGTGGCCCATCAGGGGAGCAGTGGCCGCGCACGTCAGGCGAACACTTGGCGACCGTTGGCCGAATTCGTTGGCCTCAGCTCTGTGCCTCGTCGTTTTCTGGGGGAGGGGGGGGGGCGAGATGGAAAACTATAGGCTTGGAGTTCTAGGAGGAGAAGGAGGAGGGGGAGTGGCTTGGAGTGAGATTCGGTTTTTTGATTTCTCCTTTTTCTCACTCCCTCCCTCTCCTCCCTCCCCCGCCCCCTCCTCCTCGGCCCCAGGGCACCCGAGTGGACCCTCAACCCCGCCGCAATTGGGGGCCCGTGGGCTTCGGGGTCAAGGTCCATGATTGATTCACTCTCTTCCCTCCTTTGTATCCTCCCGTCTCTTCCTTATCCTTCCTCATCCCGTCACTCTCTCCCTCTCTCTCTCTCTCTTTCTGTCTTTCTCTCTTTCCATGTTTTGTTTGTTTTCTTTATTTGATTGTTTCTCTCTCTCTCTCTAAATATATATCCATGTTTTTTCCAATGGCATCAGCGGGCGATTTCCAGGCCGGCCCGCCCTAGTTTGGCGATTTCGTTTGTTTTTAGTGCGTGTGCGACGCGTGGAGAAATCACCAAATTAGGGCGTCTTTCTCTCTCTCTCTCTCTTTCTCTACCCTTCTCTCTTTCTCTCTGTCTCTCTCTCTCTCTCTCTGTCTCTCGTTTTTTTGTGTTGTTCTCTCTCTCTCTCTCGTTGTTCCGATTCCTCTGTCTGGCGATCGGGGAAATCACCAAATTATGGGTTGTCTCTCGATTTCTTGTTTCTCTTTCTCACCCTGTCCTTTGCCGTTGGTTTCAGGGGGCGGCTTCCCAGCCGGCCCGCCCTACTTGGGTGATGCCGTTTCCGTGTTGACGAGCCTGGAGAAATCACCAAATTTGGGCGTCTCTCTTGTTTTTGTGTTCTCTCTCTCTCTCGTTCTATCTACATATACATATGTCTATGGTTTCTCTTTCTTGTTATGTATGTATATCTGTCTCTCCCTCGTTCTCGCTCTCTCTTTCCCTCTGGTTCGACTCCTCTCTCCTCATTCCTCCTCCCGTTCCATCCTCCTCCCCTCCCTCCATCTCCTCTCCCTCCTCCTATGCCAGTACAAAACCAACACAGAACCAACACAATGAGCGGCCAGAGGTGCCCACATACAAAACCAATAGAGTATCAATTCGAATGCAGCACCAACGCAGTACCATACGCACTTCCTATGCCACCGCAGCGCCCATGCAGTACCAATACAATACCGTCACCGACGTGCCTGAGTTGTGGGTCGGAAGCTTCGCCGCTGCGCGTGGGTTGTTGCGTCAGAAGCCCCGCCGCCACTTCCGTCGGGAGAGGGAGAGAACACAGCACCACCAGGCACCTACAGGTCATTTGATGGCCAAATTTTGGCACGTATCCGCTCCTGTCCTCACCATCCCCTCTTCCTTCTACGTAGCGCTACTCCTTTTCGTCTGGACACCGCATGTGTCGGCAGGGCGGGCTGGGCGCTTCGCTTGAGACGTCCTCCCCATTCCATGACCCCGAAGGCCGGGATGTCCAACGTTTGCACGGATCTCCCCCGGGGTCCGTTTTGCCTAAAGTTTCGGGGCGAATCCAGCCGTGGCCACGAGGGCCTCTCAGGAGGCCCCAGGAGGGCGAAAACAATAGGCTCTCCGCTGACTCCTCTTCGCTGGCAAGACGATCGGCCTTGCCTCGCCTCGCCTCCCAGGCGGAGGAGGGGGAGGAGGAGAAGGAGGAGGAGGAGGAGGAGGAACAGGCGGAGGAATAGGAGGAGGATAAGGGAGGGAGGAGGGAGGAGGGGGGAAGGAGGGAGGAGGAGGGAGGAGGGACGAGGGAGAAGGGGAGAGGGAGGAGGGAGGAGGGAGGAAGGAGGAGGGGGAGGGAGGAGGGTCGTGGCCCCTCCCAGGAGAGCGCGTCTGAGGCATTGCGGTGCCACCCACCCACGCACCTCGCAGGTCCAGTCGCTGCACGAGAGTGGGTGCCGTTACATTCCGTTCTGGTCGGGGGTTTGGGGGCTCAGCATTGGTGTTAAGGGTTTGGGGGTTGTTTTGGGGAAGTCAAGTGCTCGGTGCGATCAGGCGGTGGTTCGGATCGGCGATTGGTTGACGCCTTTGGTTCCAGACTTGGCGTTTGGATTTCCGGGCTCTCGGGGGCGGCCTCGGGGGTGTTCGATTGACGGGCCGGGCTCTGTTCGCCTGACGGGCCGGGCTGTTCCGCCGAGCCGTTCGTGGGACGGACCTCCGGCGTTCGCCTGACGGGCCGGGCTGTCTCGACTGCGGGCGTCTCCCTTTGCGTACCTCGCCTTTGCCCCCCTCCCCGTGTCTGCATTTCCTCGTCACGACGACGGAAGGACAAGGAGGGCGGGGAGAAACAGGAGCTGTAGAATCTGCGATATCTCCGCGACGCCTGTTGCAATGGCAACCTTCGCGAGGTAAGTGTTGCATCCTGCTGCTGCGTCGGATAGTCTTTGATGCTGAGAATTTCGCTTTTTTTTGTGGGTTTGGCACGTGTTGGCCCTTTTGATGACACATTCGCATGCGCGTTCTTTCGCGGTGCCGTTCCGCCCTCTTCTTCTTGCCGTCTCATTCGTCCCCCCTTTGCCTCTCGTATCAGCCGGTGTCTATTCACCCGTACTTCCCCAATGCAAGATTATTTAATTCGGTTTGTTGTTATACGGGCTGTTGTGGAGAAGACTTCGTTCAGTGGAGCGCCGTTCATAGGCATCCTCGTGCTCGTGTTCGTTGATATTCGTTCAACAGCATCTACGCTCATCTTCATCCTCTCCCCTGAGGATATCAAGCCGGATGAGATCGCCTACAACACATTGTTGGATGGTTGCGCTCGCCAGTGCCTCTTTGAGCGCGGCATGCAGGTTCTGTCCGACATGCAGGAGGGGCGCGCGGGGGGGAATGAAGATATCTAGTTCAGCCAGTGCAAATTGAACGTTCGCGGGCGATTGCCAGACAAAATGTTTAGCCGGCGTGGTTTTTGTGTGAGATGGTTTTGCCTGCTGAGACAGTTGACACTCGCAGCTGCGTCTCGGATGTTTTCGCTGGCAGGAGATGGCCCAGGGCTTTTCAACGCCAACATTGCGACCCATCGCTTCGGGAGAGGGCATTGGTGGACCGTCCGGGGAGGATTTGCCAGCATCCAGTTGTCGACCATTGGTTGTTTGATTTGCATGTTTGTATTGGTGGGCCGTTGCTGGCTGCCGAGCTGGAGTGTCGCAAAGCTCGCACGCCCCAGCTCAGCTTTCTGAGATTCTACACTCGGCGCCAGAACGCAACGTCACATAGTTCAGTGTCATCTTCGAGTGCGCGCCCGTCTCCCTCGTCCGTGCAGGCGCCACTGCCACACACACAGACACACACACACACACACACACACACACGCAGAAACACACACACACACCGGACAGAGGCGATAGTGAATGGCCCATATATGATCGCGGGCTCCAGGTCCTCGAGCCCGCCCCCCCCCCCCAGATGGGATGGGTCCCAGGGTCCTCGGGCCCCCCCACCCCAGATGGGATGGGGGGGGGGGGTTGGAGGAGGAGGAGGAGGAGGAGGAGGAGGAGGACGACGACGACGGCAATGACGACGACGATGACGACGACGACGACGACGACGAAAACGACAACGACGACGACGACAACGATGACGTTGACAACGATGACGACGACGACGGCACCACCAGCGGCGGCGGCGACGTCGTCGAGCACGGGAGCTGTCAACATGACGCCAATCCCAGCCACACGCCGCACCCACACTGCACCCACAGGGGGGGAGGGAGGGGGGGAGGAGGACCATGGCGTCACCCGCACACACCCACAGCAACACACCACACCCACACCACATCCACAGGGGGAGGGGGGGGCGGGAGCCACCACGCCACGCCCACGCCCACAGGGGGGGGGGGCCCATCGCGCGGGGTGGGGGGCCCGATGACATTAGCATTGGGGGGGAGGTCCTAACCCTCGACCATATATACTTCCGCCTCCCCCTGGGGTCCCAGGACATGTTCCCCAGGCGGTGGACATGAGGTCTGGTGCTGCACCTGTGTTGTGAGGTCGGATCCCCCAGAGCGTCGACCCCGTCCCCAGCTTCCCAGGACCGGCTTTCCTTCTTGCGTCGTGTTTTCGTTGTTGTTGTTGCTGTTGTTGTTGCTGTTGTTGTTGTTGTTGTTGTTGCTGTTGTTGTTGCAGTGGGGCCGCTGAGGAGCCCCCAGAGGTCGACCACGTAGAAGGGTCGGCAGTCATCGGACGGGGCTAGGGTCAGGATGCATCCGTTCCAGAGCGTTCCTGGACACTCTCAGAGCCCGGCATCGGCCGCGGCGCCCGAGACAGCCGCCAGAGCCGCGGCATCTCCGAGATTCTCGACTTATCATCACCCGATTTTCTCCTCGTCCTGGCTTCGTCTTGCGCCACGATGCTTGTGGGCGACGCCTGGATCTGAGGGCCCCTCCCGCACATCCAGGTCGGTTGTGCGAGGCGCGCGCGCGGACACCGTGATCCGGGAGGCTCCTCCTTTGCCAGCGGAGGGGGGGGACGCAGAAAGCAGCGGAAAGGAGGGCCCGCTCGCTGGCCCTGGCTCCTCGGCGGCCCTCGCCATCGTCCAGGATCCAGGATTCAGGTCGACTTGTCGTCTTCGTCGTCGTCGTTGTCGTCGTTGTCGTTGTCGTCATCATCATCAGCAGCAGCAGCATCACCATCATCATCATCATCATCAGCAGCATCACCATCATCATCACCACCACCACCATCATCATCATCATCATCATCATCATCGTCATCATCATCATCATCAATACCATCGTCATTGCCAACGTTGTCAACATTGTCATCACTGTCATCATCCTCATCATCCTCGTCATCCTCATCATCCTCATCATCATCAGCAGCAGCAGCAGCTTCATCATCATTCTGTGGCCCGCGCGCCGGGCATGTTGGGAATGCATCATCATCCCGTGGTCCGTGCATGGTCCGTGCATGCTGGGAATTCATTTTCAGGCGCCGTTGGACAAAGTTCTGTGCCCTTTCATTTGCAATCGATCATCGCCACCATTGCATCACAATGTTCGTATTTGGCGTCCGAGGGGGGATGTTTTCGGCCCCAGGACCGACACAACACGGCTCAGGATGACAAGCCAGTGTTGGGGGTGCGCGATTCGGGAAAGTCGTGCCGTCAAAGGTCTGGGGAGGGAGGACAACGGAATCCAGCCCAGCAACTTCACGCTCTCGGTGCTGGTGAAGCTGGCGAACCGCAGCCACCGCCTCGACGAGGCTCAGCGCGGATGGGGGGCTGTTCCACGTGCCTGGTGCCGTTGCATGTTGTTGCAGCTGACCCGGGGATGCGGGATAAGATGGGAGGATGAGGATCGGCTGTAGCTGCGGGAGAGAGCTGAGGTGATAAGAGTCCAAGCTTGATTTTTCTCGCTTGCTCTGGATTTAGTTTACCGTGTCAAGAAGCGACGGATCACGCTAGCCTACGTCACTGCAGCGTGGACAGTTGAAGGGGGCGGAGCAGCAGCAGAAGTTGCACGCAGGAGCAGCAGCACCACCAGCTGGATCGGGAGGACGGGAGGCAGCCGCATGGCACGGAGCGCAGGAGGACTGTTCCTGATACTGGGGTCACCCTGCGGCCAGCCCCAGAATGCACGCCCCCTACGCAGTTGCCAGAGGATGCTGCTCACGTGATGCTGATGACTTTGACGAGATGCTGACGTGATGCTGACGTGATGCTGACGTGACGTGTTGACGAAGCATCAAAAGCAGGGGAGAGCCAAGAGGAGGAGGAGGAGGAGGAGGAGGAGGAGGAGGAGGAGGAGGAGGAGGAGGAGGAGGAGGAGGAGGAGGGAGGAGGAGGAGGAGGAGGAGGAGGAGGAGGAGGGGGGGAGGAGGAGGAGGAGGAGAAGGGGAGGAGGAACCAGGGGAAGGAGGAGGAGGAGGAGGAGGAGGAGGAGGAGGAAGGAGAGGGGGAGGAGAAGGAGGAGGAGAGAGAAGAGCAGTATCAGGTTAGCCAGATCGACCGAGCCCCACCCTCCCGCCCATAGTAAACGATTTAACAGTTGCACACCTTGACGTTGTGATTGGAACGCGAACCCACCTTGCGAACGAAAGACTCTCGCGCGGTCCCGCTTCCGACGACTTGGGGTAGTGACAGCTGCGAGGGCTGCGCAGAGGCGGGAGCGTTTTTTGTTTTTTGGGGAAGTCCTTGCGCGTCTCTGCTTTTTTTCTTTGATGGCCAATTTGACGAAGCATCAAGAGCAGGGGAGAGCCAAGAGGAGGAGGAGGAGGAGGAGGAGGAGGAGGAGGAGGAGGAGGAGGAGGAGGAAGGAGCATGCGCAGCGACGAAGCATCACTGCCACCTTCGCGCGCAAGCTGCGCGGCGCATGGGCGATGACAGCGTCCGGGCCGCTCGCGCGCGGCCCCGCTGCCGCCGCCGCGTTCTGTGCGGCTCGACGAGCGAGGAGCGCGCCCGCGCGGGAACGCCTCTGTCAAGCGAACCGTGCACGGAGCCTGGGCGAGGGCGACGAGAGACTGCTTTTTGTAGGGTCGGGCGATAACCCGGGCTATCGGGCTTGCCCCCCCCCCCCCCCAGGACGACCTAACCTTGCCGGTTGTGCAGGTCCGCGGGAGGGGGGGGGCGCGGGCATATGCAGAGCTGCCCACAGCGCGAGGGTTAGCTTCTCGGCCGGGCCCCTCCTCCCCCCCCCCCTGGGATAATCCGGATTATCGCCGATTCCAAAAAACCGTCTCCAAGTCTTGCTCGTGCGGTCCACCGAAGGTTGGCCAGTGAAAGAAATGCGCCACGACAAAGCGGGGGCGTCACGTTGAGGCGAAACCTGCGCGGCACTGAGGCGAGATCGACACTTTCGACCGCTCGTGCGTCGACAAATTGGACAGCGTCTCAGGAAGAATAACGGTGGCGCTGGACCGAGAGCGACGTTTCGCATTTTCTTGCCCCGCATTTTGTAATTTCTACGGCAGAACGCCGATGTTGAAAGGGGGAACGCTGCCTGTTTACTGACAGGTAGAATGGGCCGTCGTGGATTGGGTCGCTATCGGCAGTGGGCTGTCCGAGAGCGACATCCACTTCCGATGGCGGTTTCGGAATTCGTCGCTTCGGCGAGTTCGCGGGCCTTGGCACCTCGAAGCCGCAGGGGATGCAAGACTTTGGCAATGCACTGTTGGGGTTGTTGGGGTTGCAAACTCTCTTCGGCAATCACGTCATTGCAGCACTACGGGTCCGAATTCCAAAAGCCTTGGCCCCTTTCTACTTGGATCCTCTTTTTGGGTCGGCTAGATTTGGGCGTGGAATTCGGGCCTGTCAGCGGATGGGCAGACAGTCGCGGGAACGGAGTGGGCCCCGAACTACCTCAGGAGATTTGCGGCGTCGACTGGGACCCTGACCCTGAAGGCCCCCCCCACCCGAGGTTTATTCATACCCAGACATCTCCCAATAGGGTCTGACATTTGCTTCTCGACCCTCGATGGTCGAAGGCAAAACTCAGCACCCGCTCCCTAGCGGTAAAAGAGGGAATGGCGCTATGGTCTTTCCGTCGAGGATGGGGTTCCTCAGAGCGCGCGCTCCACCGTGCCGCAAGACATGGTTTCGGATGTCGCAGAAGCATGCTTTGTTTGTTCGTTCACCAGGCTCTTCTCAGACTAGGGAGGTCACATCAGAAATCAGCCTGCCAGCAGGTGCCCATCGGAAGCGCCACGCTCCCCGATGGCCCAGAGATCCCCTATACTTCATGGGGCTCCCTGTGAGGCTCACGTGCTTGAAGCTTTGTGGTGTAGTGTCCCCCAGGACGTCGGAAAGCGAGGAGGAACACGAGGAGCAAGAGGAGACGGGAGGAGGTCACTGTGGGACGGAGAAACCCATCTTGAAACGATGCCCAGGCGAACCGTCGCGAGGAGGGACGTAGAGAAACATGTAGTGAAGACAGGAAGCGATCAGTTTTGAACTTAGAGACCAGTGGGCGCATAGTCGAGGCCTCTTGGAGCCATCTTAGAGCTCTCTTGGGGCCATTTTGGGAAGCCCTGACGGCGCTCTGGGGGGCTCTTTGGAGGTCTCCTCGGGTCCATCTTGGAGGCCATCGATCAAGGAAGGCGGGGTTCTTGATGACATTGCCCCAGTCGAAGGCCACCAGATCACCTCTTGGACGATCGTTGAGCCATTCTGAGGCATCAGCAGCAATTTGCTGCAGGTGTTGAAAGGATTTGGGCCCCGCGGGGGCTTCCTCGGAGAGCACAGTGGCCACTTGAAGTTGCTTTAGGGCGGTCTTGGGACCTCTGGTAGGCATGCTAGAGGCAAGACGGAGCTATCTTGGGCTGTCTTGTGGGATATTTGATGTCATATTTGGCTACATGTGATTATCTTGGAGCCATCTTGGACGCCCCACCGCGTCATGACCACCCGTCCAGAGCCAGGGTAGGGGGTAGGGGGAGGGATAACCCCCTTCCCGAAGGCGAGGAATGGTCTTGTAGGACCCTAGGACCGAACTCGTTAAACCACTTACGCCCAGAGGGATGGTGGGTTTCAGCGATGAATGTGCCCCTAACTTTCGGGGGTCTCCATGATGTGCAGGAGGAGGTGAGCTTCAGCAGCGCTAGGGTGGCGCAGCGGAAGTCGTCGTGTGTCTGCACTTTGTCGCGAAGATATGACGTACAAGGACTGTTGTGAGTCCTGTTTGCTCGCCCGATGAGCGCGACCCGGGGCGTAAAGGTTCCCAGGATCACGGCGATCGCTGGTCGTCTAATGCGCACTGTCCGTTAGAACACAAGTCGTCTGCTCAAATCTCCAAATTCAAGTAACTATATGCCGAGCCACCACTCCCCTCCCTGGAAAGGCACCACGCATGTGGCTCAGAAGTAAGCCCCGAGCACGTGCGGCCCTGCTCGAATGAGCACCACGCCGCCACGCTTCCCGCCTCCACTGAGATTCTGGCTCGAGCTCTGGTGTTGGCTCGACGGCTCAAAGTGCGGGGCCGCTGCAGCACTCATCCAGAACGCCCTCGTTGCAATCGCCAGTCCGACTCCCCATTCCCTGCAAATGTCAGGCAGCCGTAAGGCACCCAGGTGCCGTTTCTGGGCCCCTCGGGAAGGCCGAAAACGACGCAGGATGAAACTGCTAAGGGGGTTGAGACCTCCAGCGGCTCGAAGTTAAAAGACGTTGAGCTGCCCGAGAGATGGGTACGGATGCGCAACTCGTCTCCAACCCTTTTCAGAGGGTCCTAGGGTGCTCCAGAGCGGCCAAGACGCCCGACGCATTCCGAACCCGCCGTCGTCCCAGCGACGACCACCGGCGACGACGGCGACAACGACCGGCGACGACGACCAGCGACGACCGACGACGACCGACGACGACGACGCCCACCGACTACTGACGACCGACGACGACCGACGATGATGAGGAGGACGACGACGGCGACAACGGCGGACGATGATGTACGACGGACGACAACGACGCCGACGACCGAGCACCGAGGACCGAGGACCGAGGACCGACGACGACCGACGACGACGACGACGACGACCACGACCACGACCACGACCACGACCACGACCACGACCACGACCACGACGGACGACGACGGACCATGGACGACGGACGACGACGACGACTGACGACCGACGACCGACGGCCGACGGCGACCGAGGACCGAAGACGATAACGACGCCGACGACGAGGACGACGACGACGATTGGGCCCCAGACCTCACATGGCTGTCGACCTGTTCGATTCGTTGGCCCCTGGAGCTCTCGACCCACTCGCTCCACATTCTCAATCTGGCTCGTTTCTTGACGGCTTGACGGCGGTGTGACTCGGAAGCGGACCCATGAAGGTCCACAGTGAGGAAGCATCTGTTCGCGACGGTGGAGTTTCGGACCCGGAGGTCCAAGCGGAGGTCCAGACCCAGGGGGGCCGTATTTCCCTGGCGAAGTGCTCCAGAGAAGCAGGCGGGTCGGACTGGGGGGCGCAACGGCGGTCTCTCCATGGGGGTGCGCGGGATCCTGGAAGGCCCGCCGCCAGACCCGACCGGGCTGGTCGGCGCGGCGAAGGCACCTGATCTCAAGGGGGGAGAGCGCACCGATACCCATGCCTGAGTCGGGCCTGTCCTTCTACAGGGGGATCATTCAAAAATAGTAAAAATAGTCTGGGGACTATTTGTTGACCACTTTTGCATATTTTTGGTGGATTTTTGAAGTATTTTTGATTTTTTGCCAAAAATCCCCCGTAGGGGGACATGCCCGACGTAAACCCATGCGATTTCCCCCGTGGCTACCAATTCTGGCTTCCTGCACGGGGGGCCTCATCGGCGCTTGGATTCGCCCGGGAACCCTGGGCAGGACGCGCCCGGTGAGGTGTGCAGGGCGTGGCGGTTCGATGGTCCCCAGGACGTGAGCTAATCAGTCCCGTGTGTTCGCGTCGACCCGCGCTCCGGGGATGGACAGAGCCCCCACCCTGACACGTCGAGAAGTGAATTGTCCGCTTTCGGTTCTCGAGAGGGCGCCGCGGCCGTCACTTTCCAGGCCTGCGCCTGCCAGGTTTTGGCCCGAGGTCGTTTTCACTAAACCACGTTTTACTAAAGGGGGTTCTGTCCATCCCCAGATGTTACGTCGCTTGCGCGGCACGGAAGGGCTCCAGTGGACAAGCACACGTTGGCTCTAACACACGTGCTGAGGCTGAGTGAGTGGTGTCGGTCTGCTCTCGTTCCTGCGCGGCCATGAGGCGCCAGCCGCAGTGTCCGTCCAGGCCCTCGAGGTGGCCGACGTGGAGCACGAAGGGCTGGGCCAGGGCCGGCAGGCGACCCCGGACGTCAGCGAGCTCGCGAGGTGCCGGCTACACTGCTGCACGCAAGAGTCGCCCATCGCCGGAGCGACAGTGGGTGCGCGCTCGCCAGGGCCCCCCGATCGCCGAGCGCGATGCGATCGCACGGGCTGATGGGCCAATTGTCCACCACCACTACCATAGGTAGGACGGGGGAGAAGGGAAGATGGGGATGTCCTCCCTCTTCTCCTCAGCCTCCTCCTCCCTCTCCTACCCATGGGAGTGGTGGTGGACAACTAGCCCATCACGGGCTTGCGCGCCTGGGTTTGCCCCTCCTCCGCGTCCTTCGGGAAGTCGCGCACCAGAGGTCGTTCCTGCCTCGGGTCAATTTTGCGAGCGGCCGAAGGTGGAACTACATCAACCTCGCCGCGTACGTCTTGAACTTCATCATCACTTACGCCTCCCTCGCTGGCCTATTCGGCGAGACCAACCAGGTGCTCAGCAAGAAATACCAGACCCTCGTGACGCCCGCGGGCTGGGCCTTCAGCATCTGGGGGCCTCTCTTCATCTGGGAGGGCGTCTTCGCGGCTTGTCAAATGCTCCCGCGCTTCCGGGAGGGGAGAGGGAGAGGGAGAGATATGGGGGTATCCGTCGGTACAGAGACCGGGGGCGATGGATCAAGATGTGGATATAGGATGAAGACCATCGACAGTTTTTGGTCATTTTGAACAGAGCTCACTGTCGGTGTCTCCGCGGACGCATCCAGTTGTCTCCTTTCCATCAGCGGCCTGTGTCGGTGTAGTGACATTTCGTCATCTGGGTGTTCTGCAGGACCCATCGATAGTACCATAGAACCTGGGAAACGTATACCAGGACGATCAAGCACATCACGAATGACAAGTTCTCGCTCACATTACTATCGCACACCAGCTCTGGATGTAGAAGGCCACGATGTTCTTGGCGAGCGGCTGCGAAGTTGTCGTGGGACAAGAGAGGGGGAGAGACAATCGTTCAAAAGCGTTACCACCTCATCCACTCAACACCGCAGGTCGGACGCCCGCAGGTAGCTCAATCTTACTAGCTGAGTCCACAGCGCCGTACCTCTGTTGCCACGTCGATCGTGCACCGCGGATGGCCTTCCGCACGTGCCGTCGGGTACGATGTGCATTCCGTTCGGGTGCGATGTGCACTCGAGTTTTCTGCAAGTCCACGAGTCGATACGTCAGAGGGCCGAGAGCCGAGAGCTCTTGCTAGCCCAGGAGCTCCAGGCGCTGGCATTGTGCACCTTGTAGAGAAAATGTAACATGTAGGAGAAGACGAGCCAGGGTAACCCTCTCAACGAGGGCCTGCTGCAGTCGCCGTACTTGCGGCATCGCTGGGGTGCTGGGCCAGCTGGGCCTCGCCATGCAGGACTGTCGTAAGGCATCCCGCGATCCGGGCTTAACGGCATACTTCTGCTGCACGTCTTAGGTCGGGCCTGTCCCTCTACAGGAGGAGTATTCATACATAGTCAAAAGATACTCTGGGAACTTTTGTTTAGCATTTGTTCACAATTTTGGGGTATGTTAAACTATGTTTAATTCTTCGTCCAAAACCCCCCTGTAGGAGGACAGGCCAGATTCAATGCACGTCCTCGTGCGCCTCGGCGATGCTCCCGAAGACGACACACGTCCGCACGCCGTGCTCCACTGAGCGCGCACGGGACCGGATAGGTGCGACCAGGCTGTCCCCGCCCTCGAGCATGGAGCCTATGAAGCCGTCCACGTCGTCGTAAATCGGCGGCGAGCGAGGGGGGGAAGTGAGAAGGAGAAGGCCTTCTCAGAAGGTTCGGAAGTCCCCCCCGCCTTCTGAGAAGTTTTCCAAGCCTTCCCTGAAGACAGAAAATACTTCTCAGAAGGCGGTGGGGCTTCTCAGAAGCCCCGCCGCCTTTGAGAAGGCCTTCTCCTTCTCAGTTCCCCCCCTCGCTCGCCACCAAGTAGACCCCCTGCAGGGGTTTGACAGCATTCGCTGTCGGGTATCGTATTCTTGTTCGTACCCATTTCCGGCGTCCAGAACCCGAGAATCAGGGGTAGACAGAACCCCCACACTGACACGTCGATTAGTGAATTGTCCGTTTTGGGTTCTCGAGAGGGCGCCGCAGCCGTCTTTTTTTTAGGCTTGCGCCCGCCAGGTTTGGGCCCGAGGTCGTTTTCACGAAACCACGTTTTACTAAAGGGCGTCCGGAGCCCGAAAAGAGGGTGCGGGGCAAGCAGTACGCAGGGTGGTCCCGGCCTTGCGGCTCGCACCTTCCTCGGACGCTCGGGGCGCCAGGCAGACCTTCAGGACACGTTCCTGGTTCGCCGCAGCCCCCCCCCTTCCCCTTCCTTGGCCGATGGCTTCACTTTTGCCCACCTCGTGAGAGAGCGATGGATTGGGGTGCAACTCCTGGGAGGTCAAATTCTGATTTTGCACTGGTCCGAAGTCCGGCTGAATCCGTTTAATCCGGCTTGATCTGGCTTAATCCCGCTTAATCCCGTTTAATCCGGTTTAATCCGGCTTAATCACGAAAACCTCTTAGTAGTTGCCTCCTAAGAGAGGGGAGGGGAGGCGGGGGAGGGCAGAGGGGAGGAGGAAAGGGGAGGGGGGAACAGGGCAGCGACGTGGTGCACCTCGCGTCCCCGTGGTGGTGGGGCGCCTGCGCGTGCCAGTGCGCCTGGACGTTCGCCTTCGCGCAGGAGGCCATCCTCCTGTCGCTGCTGCTGATGCTCGGCATCCTGGCCTGTCTGACGGTCATCCTCGTGCGCACCGACCGTCTGCAGCTCCCTTGGGCCGACTACCTCTGCCTGCGCGCGCCCTTCTGCCTCCACCTCGGATGGACTTCAGAGGAGGAAAAGGTATCGATGCCGCTAACCTCCCCTCGTTTTCGCACTTGTGGGCCTCCCGAGAGGCCCTCGTCGCCACGGCTGGATTCGCTTCCAAATTCTGGTCGGAACGCACCCCAGGAGAGGTCCGTGGAGCAGCGGTATCGGTATCTTCTCGTTCCCCCAGGATCATCTGCGCCAGCGCGGTCAACTTCAACGTGCAGTTCGACGCGGCAAGGGCGAGCCCGGAGGTCCTGCTGGCAGCCGCCGTGCTGTCTTTCGTTGCCATCGTGCTAGTCAACGCTATTCTGGTGATCACCGCTGAGCACCCTGGCCCCATCCCGTCCCTCGTGGCGGCCTGGGCGTTCGCGGCCGTGGCCTCGGAGCTCGGCAGGGGCGACAACCTGCGGAGCCCAGACCGCCACAACCCCCACGCGTGGCCCGACCTGGTGCTGGGCGGCCTCGGGAGCGCGGCCACTGGGGCCGCCTGGGGGGCCGTCGCGCTGGCCGCGGCCGCCCTCGCCCTCTCTGCGCTGAAGGCTTACCAGCGCAGCAAGCGAGACGTCGCCTGAACCGGGATAAGCGGCTTGCCGCGCGCGCGGGGCGCGCTCCGTGTCCACGCCATTTGTTCGGCGGAGCGACGGCTCGCCGTGGTCTTCCTGGGTGGAGGGCAAAGGATGAAATCTGAAATGCCGTTTCGATTGGTTTTCGAGGCTTGGATCTGCAAAATGTGAATCACAAGACGGATTGATTTCCGAGGGGCAACAGCCCATCTGGATTTCACCCTGAGCCCTCCACCCTAACAAACTTCTCAGCTCTTTCTGGGGTTTTTGCTCGCCTGCCGCGCATTTTTCCGCACTCCCGCAGGCTTCGGCCGGTTAGCCAACCACAATCGGGTTGACCCAAAAGGGGTCCAGCGATAATGGGGTGGTGCAATAGATTTGTGGGTTGCAGTACACTTGGGGCGTGCATTACATTCCAGGGCGCAAGTGTATTGCTGGACCGTCGCTTGCAACACAATACTTGCAATCCAATGCAATACAATTCTCCGGCGCAATGCATTTGCAATATAATTGCCCGAAGTCTATTGCACCACACCCTTTCAGCTGGATGCCCCTTTGGGTCACCCAAACACAAGCACTCGGGGCGACGAGGGGGGGCGAACAGTCCAGGGGAGAGCGATCCATGTATTCAGGGGCGCCGATGGTCCATGCCTTTGGCGAGGCTCCCGGGCGAACACGTGGAACGCCCGCCCCTCGGCTATTCGCCTCTTGTCGTCGCCCCAGATGCGTGCTCGCGGGGGTGCCACATGTGGCGGCGAAGCGTGGGCCATCAGACGAGTGGAACAAAAGTTAAGTCGGGCCTGTCCCCCTACAGGGGGGTTTTGGAGGCAAGTAAGGAATAGTCAAAACATACACCCAGATGGTCAAAAACTATTCAGAAAATAGTCCCCAGACTATTTTTCCTATTTTTGAGCAGTCCTCCTGTAGAGGGACAGGCCCGACTTCAAACAACAAGGTCGCCGGCCTTCCGATTCGGGGCGGGCGAAGTACGAAATCCGTTGCGCACAGCAGGCTGCGGCCCTGCCGCTGGGCGCTTCCCTCGAGGCGTTGGCGCCTCCGACGCCAGGACGCGCTGCGGAAATCGCACAAACCAGGCATTGTTTCTGCAGGCAGCTGGTTCGTATGTAATGTATTGTTTTCTGTATTATTTTCGAAGTGTTTCTCAACGCGCTCGTTCGACATCACAACAAGTATGTTTTTGATATGTTTTATGTTTCGCTCCAAAGCTGTCTGTAGGAGGACATGCCCGACATAACGCTACCCCCCCTGTACTGCTTCCGCGTTGTCCGTCCCGACCAGTAGGTACAACGTATAATGTTGCAGTGAGGAGCCGTGAACGTGGAGGTCGCGCACGCACGCAGGGCTGTCATCTGTGTGGCCAGGAGGTGGTGGTAGGAGCCGATCGCGTGCCGGAGTCCTCGTTGGCTCCGAATCTTTAGACAGCGTTGAGAGAGAAAGAGAGAGAGAGAGAGAGAGAGAGAGCGAGAGAGAGAGAGAGAGCAAGGTATCCAAACATTCGTCCACTTCAATGGCGTGCGCCAGCAGTCGCCCCCTTCCTGCGTTGTAGAGATATGGGCGGGCCCAGGATCAGGACAATCCGCTCTATGCGGAGCGTTCCGCAACGCGCTCAGAGCGTTTCAAAGCGCTCCGGAACGGCCGCGGCTCCCGATGCACCGGCCAGAACCGCCGGATCTCATGGATCTTCGCTTCGTCCTGGCTCCGTCTTGGAAGACATGTCGCGCGGGAGGCCTTCGAGTTCTGCGACAGCCTCTCCCGGCGGCGCGGGCCACAGCGGCCCCCCGGTCCGCGCGGCGGGCCGCCGCTTTGTCATCTCACAATGCCTCCCTCCCTCCCGACCCTGTTGTCGCTTCTCGTAGTTCGGTGTCGTTGGAGCGATCCACAATCCCATCCCCACCGCCCCAGTTAGGGGTGTGCCCCTCGAAACTCGCAGGGAGCAGGCTATATCCCCATCTAAGGGGGTAAGCCGGCCAGTGGGGTCCAGGCCACGACCGTGGGGAGAGGGATATGTCACAAACGGTGCTCAGTGGCGGCAGTCGTAAGGCCTGTCGCGGTATGTACCACTCTTCTGCTCGGACTCCGACGCTCGATGGCCGAGGGTTGGGGCTCGAGGCTCCACAGGCTCTCGGGGGCAACGTCAGGGGATTGGCTGCCCGAGTTTTGGGAGCATGTTCGTGAGTTCTTCTGCAGCAGGGCTGGACCTAAACGGTGTTTTGGCGATTTCGTGGGCCGTTTGCGTTTCGATTTCGTTTTGCGGTAAAGGCGGATTGAAAACAAAACGAGGAAAAACTACAATAACACGAAAACGAAAAACATCATTTAGGTTCACCCCTGTTCTGCGGCTTTCAAGCCTCAGGATGCGTCCCAACGGCTGCGGCCGAGGGTGTCTCGGGGGTGCCCGAATCGTCTCGAGCGGCCGCCGGAGAGCCGATCGAGATCTGAGCCGAGAGCCGGGGGCAACATCAGGGGGGCATGGGCTCAGGTGGGGCGCATCGACCCTCAGCTGCCCCTGCATCGCCGATGCGCCGACTGGGGCTTGAGGGCCCGCCACGACCAGGAGGGTGCGATTTTGCTGTCGGGTGCCCATCGCCGATCCAGCGGCGATGCATCTCTGGTTCAAGCTCGACATTTGCCCCCCTGATTGGATCCCCCCACTGACGGGGCGCGCGGGCGAGCGAGGAGACAGGAGGCAACCCAACAGTCCGATCGAGCCAATTCTCGGCCCAGAGTGGGTGTCCATAGACTCACACGCCAGACATGAGGCTCTCGATTCTAAGCGCTTCGCGTGCACACACACACACACGCACACACACACACACACAGACACACACCCGCACACACACACACACACACACCCGCACACACACACACACACACACACACACACCCAGACACACACACACACACTAGCCCATCCAGCAAGCAGGATCGCGACCAGATGCGGGATTTCGCGCTCAATCACCTTGGACTGGTGTGGTCTGGAGTCATCCAGGAGCTTGCGGTGGAGCCCGCTGTGATCGGGCGCAGTGTCATCGATGGTGATTGGATTTGGTTGATCCTCCTTGACGTGCGAGCTGATCCACATCCGTTGCGACATTTGGGCAAGCAAAGTTCGTAGTGGAAACAGGTGCGGTTAATTGAATTCATCACCCTGTTGTTCAAGAGGAGGGCTCCAGACCCCCGCTAGTTCCTGCTCTTTGGCTTCTCCGGCCTCTCTTGGGGCCTCCTTGAGTGCCTTTGTCAATTGTGGCCGTCCTGGGGGCATCTTGGGCAGTGTTGGGACCCTCGTGGGCCATCTCCGGGCCCTGTTGGGGGCCTCTTCCGCCGTCTTGTGCCAGTCGTGGGGGATTCTCGGGCCATACTGGGGCGACTGCCCCAGAAGTGGCGAAAACGCGAGCATCATTTGCAACCCAAGGGGGAATCAGAGTTGGTCGGTGCTTAGCTTGTGTCCTTCCCTTCCCTTTTCTCCCCTCTCCCCCCCAAAAATGCAAGGGGGAATCAATGATTCTGGTCTCTTGGTGCCTCTTTGGGTGCGTTTGCCTGGGGCAGTCCTGGACGTTCTGCAGGGCCCCTCCGGTGCATTGGAGCCCTGCTTGAGCCATCTTGGGGGCCATCTTCGGTATCCTGGAGGCGTCGGAGGTGGATTCTGAGGCTCCGAGGGCCCCACAGGTGCGTGGACGAGGTCAGGTCGTGCCCCCCCCCCCGAAAAACAATGATTTTGGACCCCGAAAAAGGAGGAGGGGGAGGAGGAGGAGGAGGAGGAGGAGGAGGAGGAGGAGGAGGAGGAGGGGAGGAGGAGGAGGAGGAGGAGGAGGAGGCGGAGGAGGAGGAGGAGGAGGAGGAGGGGGAGGAGGAGGAGGACGAGGAGGAGGAGGATAGGAGGATAGGAGGGAGAGGAATAGTACGAGGAGGGGGAGGAGGGGGGAACAGGTGGAGAGGGGCAGCCAACTGTCTCACACGCCTTGTCACCCTCGGCTCTCGGGGGTCGGTGGATCCTCCTCCTCCTCCTCCTCCTCTTCCTCCTCATCCTCCTCCTCATCCTCATCCTCATCCTCCTCCCTCTGGCCGCGGTTGTCCTCGCCTCTCCTTGCCTTTGCCTTCCTCCCCTTCCCTTCCTGCCCCCACCGCCTTCCCGCCCCATTCCCCTCCTCCCTGGCCGTCCCGCCGCCCTCGGTAAGAGCTCGTCTCACGCAGCTGATTCGGGATCGGGTGGGGGGAGCGGGCAGGTTGGCGCGTGTCGGGCCGGGTGCTCTCTGTACGGTCTTTCGGAGCAGAGGGGATGGTCGGCCTCCTGGGGGTGGGGTCTCGCGACCTGCGATCTCGCAATTTCCTGGCCCCCGCACTCCACTTGTTCTCGGACGGGGCGTCACGCCCTCCGCCAATCGGGCATTGGGCCCCAATGTTCGGCTCGCTTCTGCCGGGTCCTAATGGGGCGCCCAGGCAGGCCTCGGGAGTCAGGCAGACTGAAGCGGATCCCAGGACCTGCATACATTTGCAATCGCAGAGATAACGTGCAGTGCTTCTGCTGCCGCCGCTGGTGCAGCCGCTGTTCTGACACATCCCTTGAGCGCCTTTACCTTTCTGTTACCTCCTCCCGTTGTTCGTTTCTGCGCACCTCATTCGTCCCGTTCCTCGAATGTTTCAACCTCCTATTGTTATCTTGTCTCCGCTTAGTTCTCGTTCTGGACCCAGTGCTCCATTGTTCCCTACCTAGGCTCTGCCTAGAAGGGTTCTTACTCTCTAGCTTAAAGGGGCCGGGCAATTGAAAGCGCCCCGGGCGGTTCCCCCAGTCCCCTGGGAGCGGTTCCCCCCAGTCCCCTGGGAGCTTTAGCTTTAGCTTTAGCTTAGCTTTAGCTTAGCTTTAGCTTAGCTGTAGCTTAGCTTTAGCTTAGCGTTTCGCTTAGCGTTTCGCTTAGCGTTTAGCTTAGCTTTAGCTTAGCGTTTAGCTTAGCTTTAGCTTAGCTTTAGCGTAGCTTTAGCTTAGTTTTAGCTTAGCTTTAGCTTAGATTTAGCCTTTAGCTTAGCTTTAGCTTAGCTTTAGCTTAGCTGTAGCTTAGCTTTAGCTTAGCTGTTGCTCAGCGTTAGCTTAACTTTAGCTTAGCTTTAGCTTAGCTTTAGCTTAGCTTTACCTTAGCTGTAGCTTAACTTTAGCTTAGCTGTGGCTTAGCTGTAGCTTAGCGTTAGCTTAGCTTTAGCTTAGCTTTAGCTTAGCTTGAGCTTAGCGTTACTGTTACTTCTAATGCTGCTTTCCTAGGGGTTCCAACTCCTAGGTAGGGTCGCACTGGGATCATTTTTCCGCTGGTGCAACATCCATGTCGCATCCAGCATTGCAGAACCGACTGTTTGAGGTCCACGCTGGCAATGACTGGTTCGAGACGTGCCCCCCCCACCTCCTCGTCCTCCTACTCATCTTTCCCCCTCGAGCCCCTCCTCGCCAATGTCCTCCTTCATCCTCGTTCTGGCAGTGTCTCGCGATTTCCATGGCAATGTGATTTGATTCGCGCTGCCAGCTGATGTGCGAGATGTGCGTGGCCTGCCGAAGGGTGTATGTGTGTCGTTGCCGTGAAAAGATGCCTCCGCAGGCCGTTGCCGGGCCCCAAGGGCCATCAACGACGGATCTGGTGCGAAACGTTGCACCCCAGTAAAGGGGCCGGTGCCTTCATGGGACCGCGCCTTGGACAAAAAACACACACACACACACACCGTCGGATGTCCGAGGTCCTCTCCTCCTCCTCCTCCTCCTCCTACACACACACACACACACCGTCGGATGTCCGAGGTCCTCTCCTCCTCCTCCTCCTCCTCCTCCTCCTCCTCCTCCTCCTCCTCCTCCTCCTCCTCCTCCTCCTCCTCCTCCTCCTGTCGGCGGCCTTCGCGGCCTCGGGCCGCGCCTGGTCTCCGGGGGCCTAGCCTATCCGGCACGGCGGCGCCGTCGCGCGCGAACTGCCCGAGGCACGGCCTGCGGCTCAACGTCCACGTGTACAACAACCTGATGCAGGCGTGCACGGCGCACCAGGACGCCGCCGCCGCCGCCCTCGTGCATTAAGTCGGGCCTGTCCCTCTACAGGGGGGAATTTTCAAGAACGATATTTAGAAAAGTCTGGGGACGATGTTCTGAGTATTTGTTGGCCTTTTTGGAGCATGTTTGTTTTACTATTGCTGTTTGTTCGCCCAAGCCTAACGCATGCACCACCTCCCTCCCTGCCTCCTCCCGACTCTGAGCAGAGGCCCGCCGCGGGCACCAGTCATTTTGTCAAGCTGGCCATCGGGTTCCGTCGGGGCAGGAGCCTCCGCCTCCTCGTCTCCCTCCCCTCCTCTCCCTCCCTCCCTCCCTCCTCTCCTTCCTGGGTCTCCCCCCCTGCCCCCCCCCGCCCCTGCCTCCTCAGGTCCCGCCTCCTCTGCCTGCCTCCTCCCGCCCCTCTCCCCGCCCCCCTCCGTCCCCCCCTCCTCATCCCTCCTCCCCGCCCGGGGGGGCGTCGTTCAGGGAAGCGGCGCGGGGGGGAGGCTCCCGCCTCGGGGGAGGGCGGGCGAGCTGGACGGGCCAGAGGCGGGGGGGAAGGGGCGGCGAGGGTCGGGGGTCGGCCCTGTTTCCGGCGCGGGGATGCGGCGGGGGGGGGGGGGGGCGGGCGGATGGTGGGAGGGCGGAGGAAGGGGAAGGCGGGGGGAGGGAGGGGGAGGAAGGGGGGAGGGGGGGGGAGGGTGGAGGGAGGGCGGGGGGGGAGGAAGGGGGAGGGGGCTGGGGGGGGAGGGCGGGGAGGGGGGAGGAGAGGCGGGGGAGGGCAGGCGGAGTAGAGGGAGTGCAAGGCGGGGAGGGGAGACGGGGGAGGAAGGACAAGGAGGGAAGGGGGAGGTGCAGGGAAAAAGGAAGTAGGGAGAGGGAAGGCGCAGGAAGGAGGACAAGAGGGGGAGGGGGGGGGAAGGAGGGCAGGCGGGAGCGTATGTTTGCGAGCTCATGCGCGAGGAGGAGGAGGAGGCGGGGGACGGGTGATTGCAGGAGAGAGGGAAAATGGGAGGGGGGAGGGAGATGGGTAAGAGACGTTTGCTGGAACACGAGTATTAAGGACACGTAGGGTAAAGAGTAGAAGGCGGATGGCCGAGGAGGGACAAGTAGACGACACCATTTGCAGTTCTTTGCACGCTCCATTCATATCTTGTGCGGGGAACGGGGCAAACAATGGGGGTGCAGTGGACAAGTTGCCAGGAGCCATAGAATCTATATAAATATATATATATATATATATATACCTACGCGTGTTCTGGATCGCCATATTCGAGTGGCGTGAGCGATCCGCATTCATGGTTGATGAGGTCCAGAGGATTGATGCACTGCGTCCGAATTCGCCTCCAGTGACGCACATCGTCTCAATGTGTACGTGTGTGTTGTCTTGGTGGATTGGTTCGCCTCAGGAAGTCGGCAGGGCCTTGGAGGTGTTGGGGAAGGCCGTCAGCGAGAGAGTCCGCCCAGACGCACGTGCCCTGGGCGGAGCAACTCCCAGGAGGGAGATCACCCGAGCAGTTCAGGGTGGATCCTTTCTCCTCGTCTCCCAGCATCGAGGGAGCGCACAGGTGGATCGCATATTTGTGCGAGTTGATCAGTGACGGGCCCCGCTTCCGTGTAGAATCGGCGCGCTCATTCGCCATATGAGGTGGCATTGGCTTCATGTTTGCTCGGGGCTGGCTTGAGGTGGCCCCAGATCGTTAATCCTGATCTGGCCCTAGTTTTGTGGATGCCATGGCAATGGACACCAATCTTACCATTCAATTAAAGATGTGTTTAAAATGTGTAAAACATGTTCTAACAATATTTCAAGCATGTTTTTTCACATAGTTTAAGCATGTTTGAACCATTATTTGACATCTGGACATTATTGTAGTGGCCTCCGGCCAGTGCCGCCGATCCGTGGCGCTCCGACTGATGTGATCCTCCTTCGCCCTCGTCCCCTCCTCTCTTTTTTCCCCCCTCCTCTTCTCACTCTGCATTTATCGAAGACGCCTACGGCGAATCACCGCCGCCCCCTGCCCTTTCGGAAGCGCCGATGCGGCCGACTGCTGTGGCCAGAGGTCTGCCAAGTTATTGGCCATTTTGGGCCATCTTGGCCGTCTTGGAGGCCATCTTGGGCGTCTTGGACGCCTCTTGGGCCGTCTTGAGGCCCTCTTGGGGCCTTCTTGGGGGCCTCTTGGGCCGTCATGGGGCCATCTTGGAGGCCTCTTGGGTGCTGTTGGGGCGATGTTGGGGACCTCTTGGGCCGTCTTGGGCCGTCGGAGAGCTGAAAAGAAGAACATGCCAAAATCCTTGAAAAACCTAAGGAAAATCAATGATTTTAACCTATTCGGGCCTTCCTGGAGGGCGTCTTGGAGGGCTCTTGGGCCGTCTTGGAGGCCTTTTGCGGGCCTTTTTGGGCCGTCTTAGACCATCTTGAGGCCATCTTGGGCCGTCTTGGGTGCATCTTGGAGCCATCTTACCCGTCTTGGAGGCCATTTTTGGCGTTCTTGAGGCATCTTGGAGGCCATCTTGGGCCATCTTGGCCGTCTTGGAGGCCATCTTGGGCGTCTTGGAGGCCTCTTGGGCCGTCTTGAGGCCCTCTTGGGGCCTTCTTGGGGGCCTCTTGGGCCGTCATGGGGCCATCTTGGAGGCCTCTTGGGTGCTGTTGGGGCGATGTTGGGGACCTCTTGGGCCGTCTGGGGCCGTCGGAGAGCTGAAAAGAAGAACATGCCAAAATCCTTCAAAAACCTAAGGAAAATCAATGATTTTAACCTAGTCGGGCCTTCCTGGAGGGCGTCTTGGAGGGCTCTTGGGCCGTCTTGGAGGCCTTTTGCCGGCCTTTTGGGCCGTCTGAGACCATCTTGAGGCCATCTTGGACCGTCTTGGGTGCATCTTGGAGCCATCTTACCCGTCTTGGAGGCCATCTTGGCCGTCTTGGAGGCATCTTGGAGGCCATCTTGGGCCATCTTGGCCGTCTTGGAGGCCATCTTGGGCGTCTTGGAGGCCTCTTGGGCCGTCTTGAGGCCCTCTTGGGGCCTTCTTGGGGGCCTCTTGGGCCGTCATGGGGCCATCTTGGAGGCCTCTTGGGTGCTGTTGGGGCGATGTTGGGGACCTCATGGGCCGTCTGGGGCCGTCGGAGAGCTGAAAAGAAGAACATGCCAAAATCCTTCAAAAACCTTGATTACCTAACAGCGAAGACTGATAGGTTTCTAGTGGGATCAAAAGAGAGCAGCAGATCACTCCACAGGGGGGTCCGGGCAGGTGTTGGGAGTTGCCGGGCGGCAGGTGCCGGGTTCGTTTTTCACCAACAGTCACACACTTCGTGCTTTTCTGTTTTTTTTTTTTGTTTTTTTTCTTGCTTTTTTTTGGTTTTTGTTTTTTCTTTGTTTTTGTTTTTTTTTTTTTTTTTTTCTTTCGACTTCCCAGAACTCCATTCCCAGGCTCATTCTGAATACCCGGATGCAACAGTCACACACTTCGTGCTCTTCGAGATCCCAGAACGCCATTCCCGGGCCACCTTTAGAATAACGGGATGCAACAGTCACACACTTCGTGCTCTTCGAGTTCCCAGAACGCCATTCCCGGGCCACATTTATAATAACCGGATGCAACAGTCACACACTTCGTGCTCTTCGAGTTCCCAGAATTCCATTCCCGGGCCACATTTTGGATGCCCGGAGCCAACTGTAGGCCACTTCGTGCTCTTCGAGTTCCCAGAACTCCATTCCGGGGCCACATTTTGAATGCCCGGAGCCAACTGTAGGCCACTTCGTGGTCTTCGAGTTCCCAGAACTCCATTCCCGGGCCACATTTTGAATGCCCGTAGCCAACTGTAGGCAACTTCGTGCTCTTCGACTTCCCAGAACTCCCATTCCTGGGCCACATTTCAGCAGGGGCAAGAGCACGACGAGGAGGAGGACGAGCAAGACCAGGAGGACGAGGACGAGCAGGAGCAGGACGAGGAGCAGGAGGAGCAGGAGAAGAAGGACGAGCAGGAGGAGGAGGAGGAGGACGAGCAGGAGGAGGAGGACGACCAGGAGGAGGAGGACGACCAGGAAGAGGAGGAGGAGGAGGAGGAGGAGGGGAGGGGGAGGAGTACCAGGAGGAGGAGGAGGAGGAGGAGGAGGAAGAGGAGGAGGAGGAGGAGGAGGAGGACGAGGACGAGGAGGAGGAGGAGGAGGGGGGGGGGAGAGTACCAGGAGGAGGAGAACGAGGACCACCAGGAGGAGGAGGAGGAGGAGGAGGAGGAGGAGGAGAGAACACCAGGAGGAGAAGGACGAGCAAGACGAGGAGGACGAGAACGAGGACGACCAGGAAGAGGAGGAGGAGGAGGAGGAGGAGGAGGAGGAGGAGGAGGAGGGGAGGGGGAGGACTACCAGGAGGAGGAGGAGGAGGAGGAGGAAGAGGAGGAGGAGGACGAGGAGGAGGAGGAGGACGAGGAGGAGGAGGGGGGGGGAGAGCACCAGGAGGAGGAGAACGAGGACCACCAGGAGGAGGAGGAGGAGGAGGAGGAGGAGGAGGAGGAGGAGGAGGAGGAGGAGGAGGAGGAGAGCACCAGGAGGAGGAGGACGAGCAAGACGAGGAGGACGAGAACGAGGACGAGCAGGAGGAAGAGGAGGAGGAGGAGGAGGAGGAGGAGCAGGAGCAGGAGAAAGAGGAGGAGGAGGAGGGCAGGCTGAGGCTGAGGCTGTGACTGCGACTGCCGTTGCCGCTGCGACTGTCATCGCGAATGCGACTACGACTGCGAGAACAGCAGAATTCGACAACTGGATTTTCATCTGAATCTTAAGGGGAATGCTTTCAGATATGCTTCTACACATCGCTGTTAGGTTGCTTTGCCGGGATAATTTTAACCTATTCGGGCCTTCCTGGAGGGCGTCTTGGAGGGCTCTTGGGCCGTCTTGGAGGCCTTTTGCGGGCCTTTTGGGCCGTCTTAGACCATCTTGAGGCCATCTTGGGCCGTCTTGGGTGCATCTTGGAGCCATCTTACCCGTCTTGGAGGCCATCTTGGCCGTCTTGGAAGCATCTTGGAGGCCATCTTGGGCCATCTTGGCCGTCTTGGAGGCCATCTTGGGCCAAGTTGGGGCACCAAAGGCATTGACAGATGGATTTCTTTTAGAAAAAGAACCAAAACCAAAACCTGAAACATCCAGCACGCCGTGCACCCCTGTGGCAAGACCACAAGGGGGCGGCGGATCGAAGACGCCTACGGCGAATCACCGCCGCCCCCTGCCTTTTTGGAGACGCCGATGTGGCCGAAAGTTGGATTAGAGCTTGGCCAAGCTATCGGACCATGAGTTCCCCGAGTCGGTTTGGAAAGCTTTCGGGGAACACATGGGAGAGAATGATTATGAACAGGAAGAGGAAGAGGAAGAAATAGAGTAGGAGGATGAGGGTTGTTAGGAGTCTCTTGGGGCACCCTTGGGGTCTGTTGGGGGCTTCTTGGGGGCCTCTTCGAGGCCTCTTGGAGGCATCTTGGGGGCCTCCTTGGGCCTCTTGGGGGCCTTTGGGGGCTTCCTGGGGGTCTCTTTGGCCGTCTTAGGGCGTTCCTGGTCCGTCTGACGCCGTCTGGAGCCGTCTTGGGGGCCTCTCTGGGCCGTCTTGGGGCCCTCTTGGGGCGCTTCAGGGCCGTCTTGGAGGCCATGTTGGGCGTCTTGGAGGCCTCTTGGGCCGTCTTGGGGCGCTCTTGGGGCCGTCTTGGGGGGCCCTTGGGCCGTCATAGGGCCTTCTTGGAGGCCTCTTGGGCGATCTTGGGGGCCTCTTGGGCCGTCGGAAGGCCGAAAAGAAGAAAACGCAAAAAACCTTGAAAAACCTAAGGAAAACCAATGATTTTGGCCTCTTCGGGCTCTCCTGGAGAACGTCTTGGAGGCCTCTTGGGCCATCTTGGAGGCATCTTGGGGCCATCTTGGCCGTCTTGGAGGGCATCTTGGGCCGTCTTGGAGGCATCTTGGAGCCATCTTACCCGTCTTGGAGGCCATCTTGGCCGTCTTGGAGGCATCTTGGAGGTCATCTTGGGCCATCTTGGCCGTCTTGGAGGCCATCTTGGGCCAAGTTGGGGCAACAAAGGCATTGACAGATGGATTTTCGGAAACTTACGGGTGGCCGGCGGGACGGGCCGAAGCCCACTGGGGAGTTCTTTTAGAAAAAGAACCAAAACCAAAACCTGAATCGTCCAGCACGCCGTGCACCCCTGTGGCAAGACCACAGGGGGCGGCGGACGAAGACGCCTACGGCGAATCACCGCCGCCCCCTGCCTTTTTGGAAGCGCCTATGTGGCCGAACGTTGAGGCCAGACCTGCCAAGCTATCGGACCACGTGTTCCCCGAATCGGTTTGGAAAGCCTTCGGGGAACACGTGGGCATCTTGAAGGTCATCTTGGCCGTCTTGGAGGCCTCTTGGGCAAGCTTTGGGCGATCTTTGGGGCTTTTTGGGCCGTCTCGGGCCAGCTTCGAGCCAACTTCGGCCATCTTGGTGGGTTCCTGGCACGTCTGAAGCCGTCGGAAGCCGTTTGGGGGGCCTCTATGGGCCGACTTGGGGCCCGCTTGGAATGCTCCAGGGCCGTCTTGGAGGCCATCTTGGGCGTCTGGGAGGCCATCTTGGGCGTGTTGGAGGCCTCTTGGGCCCTCTTGGGGCCCTCTAGGGGCCATCTTGGAGGCCACTTGGGCCATCATGGGGCTCTCTTGGGGGCCTCTTGGGCGATCTTGGGGGCTTCTTGGGCCGTCTTGAGCCGTCGGAGAGCCGAAAAGGCGCAAATGCCAAAATCCTTCAAAAACCAAGGGAAAATCAATGATTTTGGCCTCTTCGGACTCTCCTGGAGGACCTCTTGGAGGCCTCTTGGGCCGTCTGGGAGGCCTCTGGGGGGCCTCTTGGGCCGTCTTGGGCCGTCTTGGACTCTCTTGGGCCGTTTTGGAGGCCGTCTTGGACCATCTCGGGCGGACTTGGAGGCCATCTTGGGCCATCTTCGCGATTTTTTGAGGATGTCCCGAGCGAAACGGCCGTTTTTGGGCATTGAGAGATGGGTTTTGGGCAATTTGCGGGTGGCCGGCGGGACGGGCCGAAGCCCACTGGGGAGTTCTTTTAGAAAAAGAACCAAAACCAAAACCTGAAACGTCCAGCACGCCGTGCACCCCTGCAAGCAGGGGGCGGCGGATCTCGTGGGCTTCGGCCTATCCCGCCACCGTGCCTGGGTGGTGGGTCAGAGGCCTCATGGATGTTGGTCGGGATCTCGTGGTTGGCCTCTTTGGGGCCTCTTGGAGGCAGTTTTGAGGCCCCCCCGGGCCTCTTCTTGGGGCCACTTTGGGGCCTCTTGGGGGCCTCGTTGGGGCCTCTTGGAGCTTTTTGGGTGCCTCTTGGAGCTTCTTGGGGCCTCTTGGGGGCCTCTTGGGAGCTTCTTTACTTCTTGGGGCGGGAGGGGGGGGTACTCGAGTTCGGGACCCCCTCGGAGGCCACGATCCTCGTGAGGGGTATCAAAAACTGCCCTCCCCAGAGACACGCGGGTAGCCGCGACAAGCCCTAAGAGCCCCCCCGGAAAGCGGAGCACAACTCGTCCCCCCCCCCTCCCCCCTTCCCCGGCAGAGCCCCCCCGCCCCCCCCCCAGCAGAGCTGAAGCTCAGGCTGTAGGCTGTAGGCTGTAGGCTGTAGCTGAGGCTTGTTCAAACTCACATGCAGGATCGGCTGATTCGGCAGCACGTTTCCTCTCCATTGATCGACTTCCACAGCCCTAGAGGTAAGTTTGTCGAGTGTTCGCTCCTCCAGGAGGTCAGGGTGGTTGGGCGCGGGTCTCGTCCGTCTATTGCGAGGTCCGTGCGGCCAGCTCCGCCGACCCTGGAAAATGCCACTCGGACGAGGTGAGCGGAGGCGCGAGGGGGGGGGGCAGCAATGGTGGAGGCCTCTGTGGTTGGTGTGGGTCTCTCTTGGGGCCGCCACCCCATCCAATTTGGGAGGGAAGGGGTCGTGATTCGGTCCCCGACGGAGCCAGCGTGCAGGTGCTTATGTCCCGATGCCAGCGCGTCGGCCCAGTCCACGCCGAAGCAGCGGCACAGTTCAGTTTCGTCAGGTGTCCACAGCATGCGTACAGATACGCGCTCTGCTTCCGCTGGACTGCGTCTGAGCGCGGACACCCGTGCACGCAGGGCCGCGGAGGGCCTACCTCCACATGTCACATCCTATAATGCGTTTGCTTTTTTTTTTTTTGACATGATGACCCACGGAACGGCAGCCTAAAGCCATTCCATTTCGTTGCGTTCCGCCAGCAGCGTTGACAAGGTTGGCTGCAATTGGTTCGCGGCGCTCCACGTACCAGGGGGACTTCTGCGACCAGGAACGCACCAGCAGTAACGCGCGTCTTGTGGATGCTCGAGATTTGCATCTTCTCCTCTGGGTCCGCCTCCTCTGGGGCCCCTGGAGCCCGGACTGGCTGGAAATGTTCAGAGTTGTTTTTCTCCTCCTCATCCTCCTCCTCCTCCTCCTCCTCCGCCTCCTCCTCCTGCTCCTTCTCTTCTGGCTCCTCTCCTGCATCCGTGCCGCTTCCGCCGAACCGTCCTCGTCACCGTGAGTTTGTCTGTGCGAGAGTTCGCGGTTCTGCCCTGCTCGCAGTCTCCGCGCCCCGTCCCGTCTGATTCCGATTGCGCCGCCGCCCCGTCCTCGCGGAAAGCTCGCAGCGGAATGTTTTCCGTAACGCTTTGCTTCTCGGGACCATTTGGGATGGATAGGGTTCAGAGTTCAGGGGGCCCATGATGCGAACGAAATCACGATGTCGAGGGTAAGGGTCGTCCTCCTCCCTCTTCTTCCCCTCCTACTCCTTCCTCCTCCTCCTCCTCCTTCTCCTGGCTCTAGGGTCGGCGACCCCGACCTCTCCACAACCCCTTCTCCTCGCCGCCCCCTCGGGCCCATGAAGCCGCCAGCGCGTGTCCACAGGCCGTTCGAGGAGGGCGCCCCGTGCTGCACCGCGCAGCAGCAGCTCCTCGCCCTGGCCCTCTATCTGGGCGTGTGCGTCCAGCTGGCGCAGCGGGTGTGCATGCAGCAGGTGCTCCTCGGCAGCGGGGGCGCGGCGGCGGAGTTCGGCTGGAGCAACCAGGAGACTGGTCTCGTGCTGTCCGGCTTCTTCTACGGGTACAGCCTGGGACAGATCCCGGGGGGCTGGGCGGCGGCGCGCTGGGGCGGCCGCGCGCCGATGTTCTTGCTGGCCGCGGCGACGGCCTCCAGCGCTCTGGTGCCTCTGCTGGCCGTGCAGGGGGTCGCGGCGGTGGTGGCCCAGCGGGTGGTCTTCGGGCTCCTCCAGAGCCCCATGTGGCCGTGCACCGTCGGGCTCGTCTCCCGGTGGGCGCGGCCCAGAGAGCGCTCGCGGGCCTTGGCCTGGTGCGGTACCAGCTTCGCGGTGGGCATGGCGGGGGGGTACCCGCTCACTGGGTGCATCATGGAGGCGTGCGGCTGGCGGCGGGTGTTCTTCGTGTACGGGGCGGCTGGCCTGCTGTGGGTCCCCCTGTGGCACAGGTTCGGCTGGTCCACCCCCTCTGGCCACCCCCGCATCACTGCTGCCGAGCTCAGCTCCATCCGGCAGGCGCAGGCCGATGATGGCACCCCCATCGGGGCGTCGGCGTTCCCCTCGCGCGTGCCCTGGCGCGCGATCTTCGCGACGAGGGGTGTGTTGGCAGTGTTCGGCGTCACGGTGACCAACGCGTTCGGGATGGGCGTATTCGTCGTGTTCGCGCCCATGTACATGCACCAGCAGCTCGGCTTCCACCAGGAGCGTGCAGGGCTCCTACTCTCTCTGCCTGTGCTGGTGTCCATGGCGGCCTCGCTCGTCGCCGCTCCCATTGCCGACTCGATGGTGGCCAGACGCGTTTCCAGGATGCGACTCGTGGGAGATGAATTCTGAATCTCCCCTGCCGAAAACTTGCCCAACCTGGTTTTACCCGGATCAGTCTGGCTTGATCCTGCTTTTTCCCGCCTAGTCGGGCCGAGTCCCGGGCCTGATCCAGCCTCATCGGGCTCCGTGGCTCTTCATTCGAAGGTGGATAAACCTCCTACCCTGACACGTCGATTAGTGAATTGTCCGTTTTCGGTTCGCGCGAGGGCGTCGCGGCCGTCATTTTTGCGGGTCCAGGTCCGTCGGTTTCGGCCCCAGGCCGTTTTCAATGAGGGGAGGCTTACTGAAGGGAGGGTTGTCCACCGCCGACCATTTCTAAGTATTCGAAAGTTCTTTGATTTTCTGAGGGGCCAAGATCCTTTCATTTCTAATTGTTCTATCCTAGGCCTCTTCCTGGCCACTGGGGGGCCAGGAACAGTTAGAAACGTGCACAATGAGAAATGAGCACGATCAGAAATGAACGACGTGCACAGCCAACCGCGCTAGCAAGGATGCGGTGCTTCATCGGGCTTGATCGCCCTGAATTATTCTGACGAGTGCCTCCCAGAAGCTGCCTCCGAACCACTCCGAGGACCCGGGTGCGGAAGGCCTTCGCGCTCGCCTCGTGCTCCGGCACGGCCCTGTGCGCGCTGATGCTCGCCGCGGAGCCTGGCGTGGCGGTCGCCGTGGCCGCCATCGTCGGCGCCCAGGCGTCGCACGGCCTGCTGGTCTGCGGCCCCCCCGTGGCGGTCCTGGAGATTCGGAGGAAACGAAAAAGTACCGATACTGTAAGCTCAAGAATGTCGGAAACTGGAGCATATACATTACCAGTGGCGGGCTGTTATTCAATCCCCGGACTTTTTCGAGGGTCGGGGGCGACGTCGGGGTGGTGTGGTGTATACTCTTTCCCCGTTTTCCCAGGGACACGACGACAAATGTATACACCAGGATCCCGTATACACCAGGATACGTTTTCCAGTGCGAGTTTCAGTGCGGGGCGGGAAAAAAGCGTCGGTGTAGAGAGTTCGGCTCCTTAGAATGAGATAAAGATCCCTGGGACGGAGAATACCGTTTTTCTTTCCTCGTTGTCTTCTTTTTCTGGGCCTCCTGGAAGCCCTCGTCGGCACGGCCGGGTTTGCCTCGAGCTTCTGGCCTAAACGCGCCCGGGGAGAGGTCTGGGGAGTGATTCGCGGCATCGGTACCTCTTGGTTTCTTCCCAGGAGATGACCCCCGAGTACTCCTCTGTCGTCATTGGGCTGGACAACTGCCTGTGGGCGCTGTTCACTGGGCTCTCTGGCACCCTAGGGGGGGTCCCCGTGGGCGAAGCAAATATCCGTATCCGCGGCCTCGCGGGCTGGGCGTCTGGGCCGCGACCCCGCGGATGCGGGGCATTTTTTCGTGGATGCCCCGCGCGGAACGTGAATCCAGACCGCGAGGGCGAGGACACAGATATGTTCGCCGCTCGTGAGGTCCTGCTCGACTGGGGGGGCTGCCCGAAGGAGGGCGGCGCCAGGCCGGGCCCTTCCCGCGCTTAGCTGCCTCGATACGCCCGCTTTGAAACGCAACACGCACCGTGCTTGAAGTCCCTGTCAAGGCGTTGCGTGTTGGGCCAGAGCATCGGCCCACGCCTTGGCGAAGGCATCGCGCCAGACCTATGTGTTCAGTCTACGCGCTGAGCTCCGTATCTCTAGGCCTCCTAGATGGGGTCGGAGTAGATGGGGTTGGAGGATCGCGCCGCATCGCCGATGTATCGACGATGCGGCTCGATGCGGAGCCCGATTTTCTCCACGCCAGCGTCGCCGATGCATCGTCCACGTCGACGATGCATCGCTGGTGTATCACCGATGCATCGTCGATGCATCGCCGATGCATCGCCGATATATCGGCGATGCGGCGCCATCCTCCGACCCCATCTACTCCGACCCCATCTAGGAGGAGGCCTCTAGGATCTACGCTACGCGTCGCGTGCTGCGTATCGAGACAGCTAAGCTACCTCGTGTCTCACGGTGCCGCTGCGGCCGGCGGGGGCGGCCTCGGGGACCAGGGCGCCACCGCGGCTGGCTCGGAGGCTTGCCGCGGCGCGTGGCGGCTGGGCTTCTGCCTGGCGGGCGCGTGCATCCTCGCCGGCGGCGTGGCCTACGCCCTGCTGGGCAGCGCGGAGATCTTGCGCCTGGGCGACCGCGACGGCGGTGGCGGCGAGTCGCCACGGGCCAGCGGCCAGGAGAGCGCCTGTTTTTGTTCAGGGCGAAGGGCGGTATGAAAGAAACGTTTCCGCCGTCAGGGGCGCCCGTCCCAGGAGGCCGGGAAGTTTGTACCACTGCTGTGGCAGGTCAGGGTATCAATTTTGCAGCCGCCTGTGGACGGGCGCCCAAGTTGACGGAATAGTTTGGTTATGTCTTACCGTTCTTCGCCCACGAGTGCTTATCCCTGAGATGCGTTGCATTTTTTTCGCAACGGGCGTGTTCGCTCAATTTCGGTCCCCCGGACCTTCACGTATCGATCCAGCTTGGACAACGACCCAGAAAGATGGAGTCCAGGGCTCCGGTCGTGATTTTTTGCGATGTTGCAATTCTTGACGTAACGTCGGATTTCAGGGATCCCTCGGCGATAACGGGCGTGACGGGGGGGGTTGGGGGATGGGGCCGTCACGATTCGCGCCTACGGTGGGGGCGTTCGTGAAGGAAGGTGCCTGGGAGGCTGCAGACCTGACAGGATTATTTTTTTGATGATGGCGGCGGTGAGATCCATGGCTCATCCACGGTTGGAGTTCCTTCGGCTTCCAGACCCTGGATTCCTCATCTAAGGGTTCCTTGTCCAATGCCTCCACCGTACGGATGGCTCATTCTCAGACGGCGCCGGCGCGAATCGTGACGTGACCAGGGGGGGGGGTGGAAGGGAGGGGGGCGGGGCCTGCCCTGCGCGTCATCGCGAATATTGCAAAAACATGGCCTCAAGGAGGCTCGGCTGGGGCTGCTGCAGTGCCCGGACTCCGAGAGCGACTCGTCCAGCGGCTCGTCCTGCGCCGAGTCGAGTTTTCCGAGCCGCCAGAGGGAGGACTTCGAGAGCGACTCGTCCGGCGGCTGGTCCTGCGCCGAGTCGAGCGTTCCAAGTCGCCAGAGGGAGGGGCAAAAAAGAGCCGGCGCACAGGCTGGGGCGGGCGTGGCGGGTGGGGCGGCCTTCCGAGGAGGCGGGGGGGTCCTCTCAGGAGGGGAAGAAACACGCAGACACAAGTAAGCGTCGATGCCCAGGAAAATAAGGAAATGTGGGAATTGGGGGGGAAGAACAAAAGCAAGAAAATATGGGGAAATGTAGGGGAATCCTGGAATCTGTGTGTATTTATGTGTGTGTCCCTGAGCCCCTTCATCCTCTCGTGGGCGAAGAAGCACATCCGTATCCGCGGCCTCTCGGGCATGGGCCCCTGGGCCGCGATCTTGCAGATGCGAGGCGTCTTTTCAGTGGACGCCTAGGTCGGAGCGTACCCGTGCGACCGCGCATCCGCGGAATCATGCCCCGGAGTCCAGGCCAGGCCGCGAGGGCACGGACAATTCAGAACGTTTTCGCCGCTCGCGCTTCTCAGGAGCCCCCTCTCTTCTTGGAGAGGGGAACGCTGTGAGTACAGCCAAGTCGCTGAAATAAGGAACAGTTTGGGTAAGAAAGGGGCTCGACATTCCTTAGGTCCTTCTATGATTTGTCCTCTAGCCTTCCTCGTGCACGCAGGCGCTTGTGGGGCCAAAAAGGAGCTTCGTTCCTTACTGATCGTTCCTTCTTTCAGCAGCCCGACTGTACCTGAGCCTTCTTGATGGGGGAACGCTCTGAGTACCTGTGGGTGTCCCACGGGAGTCCCATGCCACCCAGTTGCATTTGAGCTCGCTTCAGGCTCCTCTTCTCTCCCCTTCCTGCATCACACAGGTTCAGGTATTACCAGCCTGGAACGTATCCCTATCCCTATGCTGGGCATCTCCTCATCACGATGCCAATCTTAGGGATTCCCCTTATTCTTTGAGGGCGCATCCCTAAGGTTGTCATCGCTTTTTCGCGTGTCGATCTTAGGGATAGGGATGCGCTCGAGGCTGGTAAAAGGTGCTCACAGCGCTCCTCCCTGCTCGCCCCGCTGCCCTCCTGAGGAGCCCTCTCCGAGGCCAGATCTCGGGCTCCCTCTGCGAGGCCCCCGGCCGTTCTCGGAGGACCGCGCCCCGATCGAGCCCCGCCCGCCGCCCCCCCCCGCCGCCATGCCCAGACACCCGACGGGCTGTAATTTCCAGGAGGGGAAAAACACGCAGGCACAACGAATCGTCGATTCCCCAGGAGATCTAGGAAAATATGGGAAGTGGGGGTGAAGACACAAACGCAGAAAATATGGGAAAATGTTGGGAATTCTGTTATTTGTGTCTATTTGTTTGTGTGTCCCAGGGCCCCTTCAATATTGTCGAGACATGGGCCTTCGAGACATGGGCCTTCAGGCCCTGATACGCCCCTGCTGAAACGCAGAGCGTGCCGTGTTCAAACCGCCCGGATCGAACACTCTGCGTGTTGGCTCGACGTTTTGGCGAGTGTCTCGCGCCAGACCTGCGTGGTCAATTTGCGTGCTGAGCTCCGCGCCCACGCGCTACATCTTGCGTGTTGCGTAGCAGGGCAGCTAATCGAAGAACAACAAATTCCATCAACTCAACTTATCCGAGGCTCGCGCGGATTTCTTGGATCGGCGCTGGACCCCCTTCCCCGGCGCGCGGAGCAAGCCAGGGGCGGCGCCGGAGGCGCCGCCAGGGAGGCCCAGGGAAGGGCCCTCTCTCAGCACGAGCCCTTGCCCCTCGGCCCGAGTGCTCTGGCCCATGTGGCCCGAGGTCGGCCCGCGCAGAGGCTGGCCGCACACGGCCGAGGCCGGCCGCCTCGCTCTGCCCGAGCCGTCGACGCCCCCTGGGCCGCCCCGAGACTCGCGGCGCGGGAGAGCTCGCGAGCTCTCGCCCCTGTTGGAGTCGGCTCGGCGCTCCCGGCACGCCGCGCGCGGCGGGGTGCGGCGCGCTCCGGCGTGGCACGAGGTGCGGTGAGGGTGGCTATGGAGGCGGCTGGGGGCCCGAGGCGGCCCAGCAGTGGTTCCGGTCAGGAGGAGGGGGGGGCAGCATCGAGGCGATGGGTTCGAGGAGGCGTTTTTGTCTTTTTCGGTCTCTGGGGGCCGCTGGCCGTCAAAGACGCATCCGGGGTGCGCAGCTGCACCAGATGGAATGAGGCAACCTCCCCCTTCTTGACCGCTCTTCTCCAGGTCCACCCAGCTCAGAACCCCCCGGCCGCACTGACCGAATGGCGTGCTGCGCATGGGGGCAGCTGCTTTTCCTCGGCCCGCACTTGGGGGCAGGGCTCTTCGCCTCTGGGCCGCTCTCCTGGTGAGGCCCCCCCGGCCCGAGGCGGCGCCCCCAGCGGGGGGGCCCAGGAGCTGGCGCCAACTCGTCCGCCTCGGCTTTGGCCCGCGACGCCGGAGGTCCGCCCGCGCCCCCCGGCCCCCCCCCCCGGAGGTCCGAGGGTGGCAGAGCCGCAGAGACGCCGCGCGTTATCAGGGCAGGGGGCGGTCAGGGGTAGCTCCCGATTCGGGCCTCCCGCTGCCGCATCAAGTTCTGACCCGTACGTCCTGCCCTCACCCAGCGCGTTCCACTACTCGCAAAGTGCCTACTCGCAACCGTCCGAAAAAACACATGTCTGCTTTGATTCCTGATGTACTGCATCGTGGATGCCTCGTGGGAGATCCAGGCCACTTGCGAGTAGTCTTTTTGCGAGTAGTGGTACGCGCTCGTCTATGCCCAGGGCTCACTTGACACAGGAGTTGCTCTGGACCAAGCGGTGCCAGGGTTCTTCCGTGTCACATGCAGGGACGCCAAACAAGGCCATCCTTGGACCCGGCGCCAGAAGTCCGACCGCACCCCGTTCTCTAGTCGCATACGCCAGCTGGGTTGAGAACGTCTACACCAACAGTTGAAACACACCACATGCTTCGACGAGCATTCACGCAACTGTGCAGCACCACCTACACACGAGAACGCCGACAACAAGTATCCCCCTTCTTCTTCCTCCTTCATGTATCTGTAGATATATGTATATCAAAGATTGGCTTACTGTCCCGCAGCACGCATGTATGAATTCCAAACGACGGCATATGAACACATCTAACGGTAGATGCACTCACATATAGGTGTACATATACATATGTATACATATATATATATACATATATATACACGTATAGATACATAGGCCACGACCTCGCCTTCCTAGTCTTAAATAGGCTTGGAGGATGCTCCGACTTGGTGGCTCGCTAGCTCACCCGCCCCTCGAGATCGGAGGTTGACAAGACCCCCTCCCTGCCAATCCGATGACGGTGTGGACGCGCATCCAGAAACCAGATGCTTCTCTTTCGGGTACCCCGGGCTTCATCGCGACGCGCGCTGCGCGTTGGCCTCCCGCGCGCAGTAAGAAGCTGCTGCGTTCAGGGTGCCGTGGGTTCTCCCCGCCGTTTGCACCTCGCGCGCGGGCTTCAGAGGTTGGTTCCTCGCGAGGTGCCTCTTGCAGGAGGAGGAGGAGGAAGAGGAGGAGGAGGAGGAGAAGGAGGAGGAGAAGGAGGAGGCAGAGGAGGAGGAGGAGGAAGAGGAGGAGGAGGAGGAGGAGGAGGAGGAGGAGGAGAAGAAGGAGGAGGAGGAGGAGGAGGAAGGGCCGCGTCCACACTGCAGCGAATTGCCAAGCCTCGGTCGTCTGTGCTTGCGGTGGTGTTGCGCCCTCAATTTTTGCGGGGCTGCGCCCGCCAGGCCTGGTCTTGAGTCGGGCCTGTCCCTCTACAGGGAGGATCTTCAAAAATAGTCCAAAAATAGTATGGGGACTATTTTTGTATGATTGTTGTGTATTTTTGGTGATATGTTGGGGGTATTTGTTATTTTTCGTGCAAAATCCCCCTGTAGGGGGTCATGCTCGACCTGAGCCTGGTCCCAGGGTGCAAAGAGCATCTCCGTATCCGCGGCCTTGCGTGCCAGGCCCCTGGGCCGCGACTCCGCGGATACGGTGCGTTTTTGTTCGCGTAAGGCCCCGGGCAGATCCTTCGTGCGACCACGGCAGCCGCGGGAGCGCGCCCCCGACTCCAGACCGCGAGGGCGCGTCGGGGCGCCGGAGACGGGGTCACAGCCGATGGGGGCACGGGGGAAGCAAATTCTCACGTTGGGCTCTGTAGACGGGGGCATCGTAAACGAGCGCATATAGAGAAGCCACATCCCCCTGTTTTCTTTATGCCCCCATTGAGGGGGCCCTGAGCGCGGATTCGAATATGTTCAAGGGGGGGAGCTCGAGGCAGAGCCGTGGCCGGGGCGACGAGGGCTCCACATGAAGCACCCCCCAACCCACAAAAAACACGATCGTCGACCCTTGCTCTTTGTCAAGCTCTTCGACCCTTGAACAGACGTCGCTCGAAGAAGAAAGCCACTGGACAATCAAACTTCTGGAGTTTCGCGCGAATGCTTCCTGCATTGGCTCTGGGGCACCCCTTGCGGCGCCTCCTGCGCTGCCCCTGGCGCGCTCCGCGCGCCAGGCAGGGGAGCCCAGCACGGATCCAAGAGATCCACGCGCACTTCAGAATTGGTCGGAGGTTCCCATTTTCACACGTCGATTAGCGAATTGGCCGTTTTCGGTCCGCGAGAGGGCGTCGCGGCCGCCATTTTTGCGGGTCCAGGTCCGTCGGTTTCGGTCCTAGGCAGTTTTCACTAAAGGGAGGTTTACTGAAGGGGGTTTGTCCACCGCCGAATTAGGGCCACGAGATCTAGACGAATACGTTGCCCCAGGCCTCCCCCATCCTTCGCCCAGAAGCGGAGCCTGGGCCCACGAGCGGCGCACGTGCCTCCGGATGGGATGTGATGTTCCCTTCGGGATTTTCGGGCCGGCGGCGACGGGCGGATGCGGCGGCAGCGTCGCGCGCTCCCTGCCGCGGGTGGGCGCCTCGCTCGATGGCGGGGAAGAGGGCCCGCAGCAGCTCCCTGCAGGGGCGGGCCGTCGAAGCCCTGGCGCCCCCACCAGCTCCGCCGCACGGGCGGCTCTTCGGGGCTGCTCGGGGCCTCTCGAGCCGCCCTTGAGATCTGGGGATCGGATAAGCGACGCTCAGAATCTGTGCTGCCGTGGAGAGAGCATGCGTGCAGGCACCGCAAGAAGGCCGAGCACGGAACCAAGGGGCCTTCCTGGCCACGACGAGCCTCGGGGACACGGAGAGAGTTCCCCGACCCACGGTCGGGAATGTGTGCATACAATGGGAGCCCATGCCAAGAGACACCTTGCTTGCCTCCAAGGTGCCCAGGGGTTCTTGGGCTTCGATGGTTCTACCATGAAAATCGTCACGTCCGCGCACAAAAAGTCATTGGATCTCCTGGGGCCTGAGGATTGGGGTCTCGTGGAAGATTTCTTGTGGTCGAGCTCCTGCTGTAGCTCGTCGCGCCGCGCCTGTTCTAGCCCACCGCGCTTCTGCGCGACACGCTAACCTCGTCTCGGCCCCCAGTCGTCCGTGTCTCGAGCTTTTTGTGGAGGCCCCCCGCGCTGCGGAGCCGAGCGACACTCGATCAGCTCGAGTGGCACGACGCCTCGCGGCGGCCGCCGCCGCCGCGACGCGCTGCGCAGAAGCTCCCGACCGCGGATCCGAGGAGCGGCCCCGAGACCGAGGTGGTCCCTTCTCTGGCGTGTCGGCTGTGCGCGGTGCGCGGCACAGGTACGTACGCCATCCTCCTCCGCGGCTGCATCGGGGCCGGCGACGCGATGGCTGCCGCGGGTGCGCCCTCCGCCGCGCTCCCCTTTCCGCGGCGGAGCCCCTCCTTGGCAGTGGCGAGGCGGGCAGAGGAGGCAGGAGGAGAGGAGGCGGGGGAGGGATGAGAGGAGGAGAGGAGGAGAGGATGAGGGAGGCAGGGAGGAGGGGAGGGAGACTGGCCAGGGAGGATGGGGGGAAGATCGAGCGGGTGGCAATTAACGCCATAATGTGAAGGTGAAAAGGTGTGGAGGTACGTTGGACCCCTCCCTGCAGCCGTCTTCGTTGGCCCAGGGGCTGCAGGGAGATCATCGGCCCCCTCCAGTGGCATGTGACGCCTTCATGTAAAGGTGTGGGGTGGGGACCCACGCAGTCCCTATGATGGAAGCTGCGCGGGGTGGCGTTTCTCGACGAGGCGGAGGAGGAGGAGGAGGAGGAGGAGGAGGAAGAGGAGGAGGAGGAGGAGGAGGAGGAGGAGGAGGAGGAGGAGGAAGCCACTGGCTGAGGAGTGGGGGGGCCGCCGCGCCCGCCCGCCGCCGCGCAGGGGCACCGTCGTCGCCCCCTCGCCGCCGCGGCGGCCTCCCCCCAACGGCCAGGGCTCAGGCGCGCCGCCCGAGCCGCAGGACAGCGGCCGCGGAGGCCGCGACCAGCCGCAGCCACACCCAAGGAGGGCGCCTGGCATCGAAGAGCACGTGAGCGTCGTGCACAAGCTCGGGTGCTGCTACGCCTCGCAGCAGCGCAGGAACTCCTGGGGAACCACCACAGCGCGCAGCAGCCCCAGCGCCACCAGCAGCACGCCATGGAGCAGAACTGGAAGCAGCAGCGCGACGCCTCGAGGGAAAGGTGGTCAGGAGCAGGGACCACACACCTCGAGGCGTCGCGGCGCGGCCCTGGGAAAAGGTGGACAGGAGCAGGGTCCACAGCCCAGGCGCAGCGCCAGCGCAGCGCAGACTGGACTGGCGACTACGGAGCCATTGGTGGGCGGCCCTGGGAGTGGCAGCAGCATAGCCAGCAGCAGCAGCAGCAGCAGCCACAGACCCACAAGCGCCACCACCAGCAGCAGCAGCAGCCACAGACCCACAAGCACCAGCAGCAAAGCGACAGCGACCAGCACTGGAAGCACAGAGCGCCCTGGAGGAGCGCCTCAGCCAGAAGGAGAAGCGGCAGGCGCAGAAGAAGGGACCAGCTCGACAAGCCTGCCGCAGCCCACATCGGCAGCTACCAGTACAGCCCCCAGCAGAAGGCAGTCCTGGACAGCATTACGCCAGTCTCATTCGCCGTCGCGATGGAGCACGAGAGCTGGTCCGCACCTCCAGATGACGAAGAGATGAGGTTCGTGTGGTACAAGACCAAGTGCCACAGGCTGGGTCGTCTCACCGAGAACATCGCAGGTGCCAGGCTGGCCGGCTTGTGCACAACCAGCCTTGAGCAGGAAGCGGCGATCACCACCACGAACATCTCCTTCGTTCTGCCCCACAAAGAACGCATGAAGCAGCTCAGGGCCACGCTGGAAAAGCTTGAGGAGGAGCATGCCGAGATGGAGAAGCGGCTCAGCAAGATGCTGGACCAGGAGGCGACGGCCGCCAGAACCATCAGGGTCTACAAAACCCTGATGAGGGAAACCAGAGATCAAATGGCCAAGTCGGCGGGAGTAAAGGACGAATCGTCCGAGGATGACGGGAGCCATGATCCCACCAGAGGACGCACGCCACACCCGGCCGCGAGGAGAAGGCGCGACCCTGCGGCAGCTCCAGCGGCACCGGCCATGGCCCAACCAGCCACAGCTCTGCCAGCCCCAGCCCAGCAGCCCCGACCAGTCCCAGCAGCATCAGACGAGATCAAAGATGCCATCAGGAGATTGACCGAGAGGCTTGATTCGCAGCAAAAAAAAAGAACAGCAGCAAAGCGACCTACTAGCACGAGCAGAGTTCAAGCACAAAAGCGAGCTGAAGGCCTACGAGCAGACCATCGCGCAGAAGATGTACCACACGACCGAAGCGCAGTTGGCCAAGCAGGAGGAGTGGCACACATGGGAGGTCAACGCACTCAAGCGGCACCACAACGCCAAGCTAGAGGAGGAGGAAGCAAAAGCATACGAAGCACAAAGAGGCACCCAGAGGACACAGGAGGAAAGGGCCAAAGGGATGCTCGCAGACCTGCAAATGCATATCGAGTTGGAAAAGAAGACCTTGCGCGAGGAGATGCACAAGGAAGACCAGAGAAGAGCAGCCATCTACACGCAGCAGGTCCAGAAGGCCAGGCAGGAAGAGCAAGTTGTGAGAGAGATGGCAACCCAGGAGGCCCAGTGGTACAAGATGGCGCAGGAGCACAACGAGAAGGCGATGCAGGAGATGGCGGAGGCGGAGTACCAGGAGAGATGCGCCCGCCACAGCGCTTATAAGGAGGAGGAGCTGCGGATCGCAGTGAACTACCAGCAGATGGCCCACGAGCATCAGGATGAAGCCAACAAGCGCGAAGCGATGCGGGTCGTCCTGAACCTGGAGCACGCAGCCATCCAGGCGAAGGCATACGAGATGCAGCACGAGCAGGAAAGGTATCTGGAGCGCGTCGGCGAGCACCAGGAGGAGGTGGACAAAGCCCAAAGGATGGAGGAGGTGGCGCTGCAGCGACAAGCAGCAGCCACAAGCGAACTCCAGGCACTACAGCAGCAGCAGGAGATGGAGAACCAGGCGGCGCATCAGTACCACAGCACACTGCAGCACCAGTGCCAGCAGGAGATGCAGGCCATCGCGCAGCACTACGCCCACAACCATCATATGAACGAAGCACAGAGGCAGCAGCAATTACAAGAACTCCAACGGGCACATGATTTGCAAACGGCAGGACTCCAGACTGCACTTCGGGATGCCTGGGGAGCAGGAGGACAAGTTGATGAAGACCTGCTAATCGACATGACGGATGACCTCATGGGAGACACAGCCACGAGTGAGCGCGACCAAGGCATGGCGGACCAGGAGGGCGCGTACCAGAGGGAGCAACTTGAGGCAGACTTACTCCGGCTGCTACCTAGCCAGTACGAACTTCCACATCCAGAACTGCCGCCGTACCTCGAGGAGCTGGCCGAGGTGGGGATGGAGAGAGGTCCCATACATCGTCTATGCCAACGCCAGAGGAGCCTACCCCCTCGTCGAGCGACGACCTCAGCTTCCAGAACCAAAGCTTTGTGAGGACATCCGCAGAAGAGTGGCCGCTCCCCCCACCACCACCTCAGCAGCGCCCGCACATCGAGGAGTACAACATTGTCGGCTCCTTTTCGCACTCAGGGATACTCGAGGTACGGGCGAGCAGCGATTGCATCCCAATTGGCGAATCCGACGACGCTGATTTGCTGGACGAAGAGATGAAGAACCGCCAAGGCCTGCGCAAGGAGAAGGAGGGCGAATCCCCGACAGACCTCGCCTCACTCTCACCAACGATACCAGCCGACTCACCCATCCCGACGGAACAACCCACGCCAAGACGCATACTTTTTCCGCCCGTCACGCCTCTCACGCCAAACAAGACCCCACAACGGCGTTCACAGCCAGCCAAGACCCCCATGACGACGCTGTTCATCGACCTCAGCCGCGACGAGGAGGATTGCCCCAGCACACCTCCACGGATGCCGATTGAGGATATCACGCCCACCGAGCCACACGAGCCACGGCTGCCACCACCGCGTTTCCACCTGGGCACGCCAGAGAGGACGAGCTCGGCACCTCCATGCAGAGGCAACTTGAAGCAACCAAGGGAACCCAGGAGGGCGAGGAGCCAGCCGAAAAAGGTCAGGATCTGCGACGCGGACGATGGCTTCGCGGACCCAGGTGACAGAGTGGCATCCTTCATCGAGAGCGGCGAGAGCGACCTCGACGGGGGTCGACTGTCAAAAAACTGATACGGAGTACGCAGGCTGGGGGGCAACTGGCCCAGACCTGCGCCCAGACAACTACACCAGAAGGTATCGGGGATATCGGGCCCAGACTCAGAGACCCGTGCGGTGACGAGCCTACGCCCAACGACCCACACCCATGGCCTTCGGCCATACGCACACGATCGCACCTAGCCTCCATCACACTACATAGCTATGCCCAAGCCGATGCGAGCCTGGGGGATGCCGCATCCGCTTCAAACCACCAACGCTCTACTAGGGAGCCCCGACACAAGAGACGTAGCAGACGAACTACCTGCACTACCAGCTCCCTAGACGCCGCGTCTGTGGGCAAGGGTGGGGGCCACCCACAGAACGGCGACATCAAGTCTGAGCGCTCCAAGCGCGGACCTGAGCGACTCCCTCAGGCCGCGAGCCCCACTGCCAGCGGGGTTCAGACAAGCAACCAGCACCGCGACAGGGTGAGACTGCAACAAGAGTGGGGGAGCTACTCGAGCAGTCCGACGCAGTGCCAACAGCGTGGACCAAGGCGACGCCCCTTGGCCACGCCTGGTTCGACATCCCACTTCGCGGGAGCCGCGGCGGCCCATGCGGCGTCGCAGCCCAGGCAGCACAGCCATGCGAAGGAGGACCCAGGCAGCAGGTCGAGACTACCAGATCTATTACATCTGGAGGTCTCCCAGCGCCGGGTACTCGAGGAGCACCCCTCGCTTGCAGTCGACGGAGCCTGGCTTGCCCGCCAACCTCTCGACTCCAGCCACCTGGGCTCGCAAGCAGACCACATGGCAAGCACAAAGACCCCTAGAGGGCTGGCTAGTCCACCAGCGTCAGCCAAATTAAATGCAGTTACCACGACACAACCAAGCACTGACTACAATCGACAGATACAGCATGGACCCATACAAGCCTACGAGCTAGAGCAAATACAGGACACATACCTCGACAGCAAAAGCTACAGCCCTACATCAGCAGAACCGCACCTCAACGACGCCACAGCTGTTGCAAGAGAAAGAAGAGTGGCGAGGCGCAAAAGATTACTAAGACAGGCGCTCAGGGTGGAGATGCGACCAGACTTTGGAGCGCCGCTGATCAAGAACTCCTTCGAGGCGCTTGCGGACAGCAGCATCTGCGAGGACGA